ACAGCGCAACACTCTTCTGAACTCAGCTGAAGACAAGACACACCAAAATCGGTACAACGCTATTCGTATTCATGCACAAAATTCATATTTAATATGTATAGTATGAAGAAAAAATGCTGCTGTAGCTGCTGCTGCAGAGTCGTATAAAGGAAATTGAACCCGAACGCATGCTGGCGCGCCGAGCTGGAGCTGCCGCGCCTTCTGTTTTAACGCTTCTTTAGCTTTGTCTGCTTCGCAACCATTGTGGTACAAAATTAATATGCATACTTTTATGTGCTACTGTATATGTGTGAGTGCATATGTAAGCGTATGCTTGTGGCTTGTAATCGCTGGTTAGGCGCTTTAGCGGGTGTTGCGTGGCATGGTAATGTAATTTGCTCGATCTGAATCGCAGTTCATCACAAATTCAGTGGGGTAGGAGCGTAGTAAATTTAATTGCATGTTGAATGAGTTTTAAATTTGCACTAAAAAGGCGTTTATATGTTTTTTTTTTAATAACGCAAAATATAAATTTAATTTACAATTATAATCTGAGTGCGTTGAAGAGACAAGGTTGAGGTTTATGATAGCGTAAGCGTATGTATGTATGTATTTGCGACGACGGTTGGAGATGTAAGTGACTTTTGGTATTTACCGGTGGGCGAAAAAATGCCAAATAAACAAACTGGAGTTTTATTAGTTAAAAATTGCCACATCAACATGTAACACTTGAGTATTTCGACAATACTGTGACCTAGAGCAGATATATTCAAGAATAATTTATTTTAATTCCTCAAGAGCCGCCGATCTCTCTTAAACAAACGGCGAATATAAGTAAAAGGTACAAAGGGGTTATTTAAGGAATTATGGCAGCCGAGGATCTTCTTAAAAAATATAAAATTGGTTTCTGGCTTAGAATAGTTTTAAAAATATTATTCAATTGTTAGAATTTAGAAAAAATAAATGTTTCTAGGGCCAATCGGCTGTAGTGTCGAAGCGTTTGTTTAAGTGAGCTTCAGCTTCTTTTTAAAATTCCGCCAATTTAGGAAACATAGATGTATATAAAGTTAAAACCATACATTCTTTATTATTTAGATTAAGATAGCTGGCAGATGCAATGCTTGCTTTCAGACTCCGAGAAACCGGATACGTAAAGGGTTCCGGTGAAGGACATTCCGAAATCCTCACTCAATTCGACTGCATCCCTGATAAATTCGAACACTGTGTCGCGCAGCCTTCTCTTAGTGGCATCTTCCCGGCGCACATACCTTCGAGGAAGATGTGGGTGGGGCGAAGACACTGTAGTAGAGGCGCGGTGAACTTTTTCACGGATGAATTGAAGCTCAAGAGAAAGTGGAGTCTTATGTCGGGAGCTCTAAATTGACTCTTGCTTCAGACTGCCAGACCACTGTAATGTCTTTCAAAAAAAGCGGCATCAAGGTACCAAGGCAGCCATCAAGGTACCAGCAGATATACTTCTCCGAAGTGCGGCTTCGTTCAATTGAAGCATCTCGGTTGCCATACTCTCTTCGATCCCGCCGAATTGGCTGAAATTAATGTTAGCCACCTCAATAAATTTGTAACAGGCTATCGGCGCGTTGTCGATATGCGTCTATTTGATCCATATTTAGGAGTTTTAGGCTTCACAACGGTCAGGCGTCTCTAACTGTGTAAGTGGGATTATGCTTGGCCTAAAAAAATACAGCCTATTTACTTAACCCAACTTAACCTAAGATACCGTTTCGATTTTGCTGCAGAATCACCGTCACCCGCCGAGGCCCTTTTTTTCAAGGTAGACAGTAGTCGTCATTAAAATAAAAAATAAAAAACTCCCAAAATAAATGATCAAAGTTAGATTCTAGATTGTCTGAACATCTCTCTAGTCTATATTTCTTATCTTTATGAAATTATGACTAATATTATGAGATATAAAACATAGTTAATTTTCATCAATTGTTGACTTCTCAATTGACTACTAATTTCCAGTGTACAAATTGGTCCGACATAGGATTGTTGAAAGCTTCAAATAAACAGTGTTATGATCTATATAAATGGCATCAGTTTTAAGGTTTTGTGAAAAGTTTTTTCAGAAGGATTTCACTAACATAAAAAATTATGGCAAAATTTTTCAGTAAGAGATCTTGCCACATTATGTTGGGGCTGGTGACATCAGCCATTCGGAAAATAGTCGGGTCGGGTCGGGTCTAGCATTTCATGTTGCCGAAAACAGCAAATAAATATAACGTTAGATCTTGTAAGTAAAAAATTTTAACAGCGGCAACCCTATAAAACGTAAAATTTTTCGCTCTCGCGCACCGCCAATGCTGACTGATTTCTTCAGCAGAGTTAGTGAGCCGTACACATACTTCTATAAAGCGTTAAGCGACGAAGATCTCTGTGCATTATATGCGAGTAGAAGCAATCCTCTAACTTACATAAAAGCAGTTTTCGCCAAAAAAAAAAGAACAAAAAGAATTAAAGCTGCACTCTGAGTATTTTTACGGGAGCAATGCGCGACAATAATTTTTCCGAAATCATTACATCTATACTCAGCAAAGTTTGCACTGTGTCGTGGCCTTTCGCTTTTCACTAAATCACTTAGCTTCTAGCGGGCCCACCTACTTTCCCGTCCAGCGGCCTTCAATGCGCTTTTCGCGCCACTAACCAGGTCGCGTTCGTTAAGCTATCATATGTATGTGTGTAGCAACAAATGTTTGTTTGCATGTGTGTGTCGGTAATTGCGAATATCTACGAATGACAAACTGCATAATGTGTCAGACCGAGTAATGAGAACGCCGCTTCGTAGCAAAATAGAAAAATGAAAATGAAATTTCTCACTCAAACTCACGTGTGGCAATGCGTGACTCGAGCGCGGCGATGCGGCGGCACAGCCGTGGGAGTCACCATTGTATGGCATTATCGTACTCGTAACTTGCGCGCTGGCAATTTGAGTTATTGTGGATGCACGTAGTCAATCATCAAGCTTGTGTAACAAATTTATAAGTAAACACAGGCTAGAAATCTCACTTTAGCACACAAATTGTATCTAAGATATCGTTTGACCGGTTGCTCGGCGTCAAAATAAATTGTGGAGTTAAACTCTAGAGCAATGTGATGTGCTGAGGTGGTGGGGGTGATGGAGACAACTTAGCTGTGTAGGTAAGAGTGTGTTTACAATATGGCTACATCTAAAGAGTACGAGGCTTACTCTTGAGATTTGACGTTTAGAGCGTAAAACCCTACTACATCTAGAAACTTTTCTAAAGAATAAAATTCTAGTATTATTAAACTCGTTATATAGTTTAGTTTTCGGAAAGCGGTGAACTTATTTGAAAATTTCAATAATTATAGCATTTCAATAAATATACCATATAACAATACAAAATGTTCTTCTTCATCACACACCCCACAATATATTAAGTCTAAAAACCTTACAAAATTTTTTTCAAGAAGATCGTTATCGTGTTTTTATAGTATCTGAAACCGCAACCGCCTATCATTTATCTGTCTCTTTTTTAGGTTTTATTTCATGTTATTTAATATATAACTGTAATATAAAGTAACTGTTAGGCAAGACACAAAGCTGATAACAAATTATGTACGAAAGAGAATATTATCTTCTTATCTCCACTGCACAATATATTTATGTACCTATGGTAGCGTTATATGCTACACTTTGAGAGCGTCTTTGAAAGTTCTATTGCTAATTTCATATATGAATATTTCATAATATTGTTAAAAATTCAATGAGGACGTAAAATTAAAGGATTCAGAGATTGCCCTGATAAACTTATCCTGTACAAAATTGTCTTATGCCTCACTCAGAACACTTTATCGTGGTTATATAGTTCAGATTAAGGGATTTTTTGTGTTTTCAGAACACTTTAAAGGGGTAATATATAACGGGGCATAATATAAAATCTCGTTTTATATCTTAATTAAATAAGAAATATTAAAGAATAAATATGCGGAATTTTCTTTTCATATTTCAATCCCAAAAAAATTGCTTATGGACACAAAGAGTTGATATCTTCATAAGCTGATCTAAATCAAAAAACAAAATCTTTTTAAACTGCTTTTGGAAATTTTCGAAAAAAGCACGTAGCTAACAGCTTCCTTCAAAAAATTTTAAATATTATACCATATAGGTTGAACCGAGACTATATTACTCTGTACTCCGAATTTTGGCCATAATTATTCGAGTGAGGGCTCAACAACTAACTGGACACAATGTTTATTGATAAACAAGATTTTTTAACAAGTTTTCAAGGTTTTCCACTGGTATAGCATTAAACTTGTGAATAAATAATGCTAACCAAAACAACAGACTGGAGCAGACATGTTGAAAATATTGTGACCTTCTATTTGTCGGACAATGTTCAGTCAAATAACCAAACAAGATAAGGGAATGTAATTTTAAGGGTAGTAGATCAGCTTAAGTTTATAAATACTCGTAAAGTAGCTTGCTACGTACTTTACAAACTTCATCCCTATAACAGACACTTAGTTAGTCAAAAAAGTGTGAAATTTTATTGGAGACACAAGTTCTCTTTCTGTAATCCAGAGAAGTTATTTATAATGATCTGATCTCCGAACTACAGCAGGAGACTTTCTCACACGCTAACGTCAGTCTCTTGACCTAGGCCACTTAGTTAGGTATTTGGAAGCATACGAAGTCTCAAAATGATGCTGTCATATTTGAGAAACAATACTGTTATTGCTCTCAAGTGCAAACTATGTTAATTGCAACCCTCGTAGCTACCACCCCTTACCCACCACCTGTTGAAAAAAAAGTAAACAGTAAAAATTACGAATAACCGCGGCAGAGGTTGTGCAAAACTCATGCGCATCAGAATAAACACATTTTCGTAATTTGTTTTGAGTGCATTAGCGTATGGCGGTGTGTACGTACTCGTTTTGCACTCAACGAGCGCTCATTCAACAGTTGTTTGCCATTGTCCAACGCTACAAGCGGCGATTTGAGTAAAATTTTATTAAAACATTTTCAGACATTTCAGTGCTTTTATGAATTCACTTGGGATAAGTTGTTGGCGCGTTTCAAAACGGTTTACTGCTAAAAAATTTATATAAACAAAAAAAGTATTCAACTGCGAAATGACAATGAACAACTGAGCGATACTTAAATGTCATTGAACGCATTCTTACAGAATTTTTTAGTTTTTGCTGCTTTTCACTTAGTGCGAAAAATATGAGAAATTGATTAAAATAACAGCAAAAAAACAACAAAAAAATTGTTTACAAAAGTAAAGCGCCAGCAGTTAGTGATTGCTACAAAATACATATATTTGCAAAACAAAGTGTATTTAAATAAATACGAGTATGTAAGTGTGAAATGAGTTAAAATAAAATGTGTGTATGTATATGTTTTAAGTGTGCATCGACAAAACAATTTATATAATAGGCAAAAACAAACGCCTATTTTGAAAGCGTGGTTTTAATGAATTTACAATAGGAAATTTAGTACTTAAAATATAAAAAAAAAATTCCAAAAATATTATATTATATAAAAAAAAAATTATTAAAATATTTAAAAAAAGGTATAAAGTAAGAAAAAAGAATATAAAAATTATACAATGAAAAAATTAATAAAACCTTTAAGAATATTATATAAAAAAAAGTAAATGAGACATAAATTTAAATTTTATTCAAGCTTATAATACTTTATAATAAATTTAAAAAAAATGCAAGAAATATTTGTGAAATACTTTCTGCCTTCAAACCACTTCAATGAGAGACTTTTTATATGCGCATTTAAGTGCAATAGAGTAATTTTTTGCTTAGTGTTATATTATATAAAATCCAAAAGAAATTTGATATGTGAAATATGATTTGCCAGAGAGAATATTCGCGCCAACAAGAGCTGAAGAGATAAATTTCATAAAATGCAATGCAATATAATAATCAAAAACAAATGTGTTTAATGAGTATAAATATTGTTTTAGACTCGTACATACATATAATATACATACAAGTATATGTATAAACACCATATGTGAACGAAATCTACAATTGCAGCAAGCATTCGCCTTCATTCGCCAGATATTCGTTTTTACTTTACAGTATTGGTTAGAAAAAAATTCGAATAAAACAGTGTTGCCACAGCCAAAAATATTGAAATTAAAGAAATATCAACTTTGAGGTTATGCTTTATAAAGCCTATAAAATTGCTACCAATATAAAAACCAGTGCTACAAAAAGTGATTGAATTAAAACTTTTTTTATTTTGTAAACCCAAATACAGGATTAAAAGCTAAGAAAAACAAGAAAAAACTTTAGTACCCTTCACAAACAACGAAGTTTACATACAAGGACTTTATTTCAATCCTTCAGTTTGTATGGTCGCTATTTGCTATAATTATCCGATCAGAACAATTTCTTTGCGGAGTGCACCGTTGCTTTGGGTAATAAAACATCTTGTTAAATGAAAAATTTTACCATACAAGCAATTCCAATCGTTTAGTTTGTATGACAGCTATATGCTATAGTAGTCCGATATCGGCGATTCCGTCAAATGAGCAGCTTTTTGTAGAGAAAAGGATGTGCACCAAATTTCAGATCGATACCTTTAAAACTGAGGGACTAATTCGCGTATATACAGAGAGACAGACAGATAGACGGACCTGACTAAATCGGCTCAACTCATCATGCTGATCATATAGATATATATTTTATAGGATCTCTGACGTTTCCTTTTGGGTGTAACAAACATCGTGGCAAACTTAATATACCCTGTTCAACGTATAATTAGTTCCCATACCGGATTAAAAAGTACATATAAGAAAAATTTTAATCCCACAAACGAAAACATTTTCATCAAAAAATTCTCAATCCTGTTAAGAACTAAATATTTGTAAGTGGATTGAGACAAATTGTGTTTAAAGTATTTGCTAAATGCTGTTGATTTCAACATGTTGTAAAAAATGTTTGTAGGCACAACTCACGATGGTAAGTATTGGTCTATAACTATAATCGTTTGGTTTTTGCTTTTTCGAAATTTGAACATTTATTTAAGAAAAACATGTACAACATTATTATTCGAAGTATTGTTCATCTGAAGCTTTAACATTTTGACATTTTTCTGGCAATTTATGGATTTTATCCCAAAACAAAAACTGCGGCAGTTTGGGTTCAAGAATAAATCAAGCCAAATTTTAATACCCTGTTCGGACATGAATCACATTCTAGTGAAGCCGTTTTTCATTGACCGGAATAAATGGTAGTCAAAAACTTCCTAGCTTCTGTTTTCCGAATGGTTTTTAACCGGTCTTGCAATATGGGGTTTCACTCAGTTTTAGAAGCTCACAATACAGCACCCCCTTCTGATCGCATCAAATACAGTGCATTTCCTTGGAGTTATGGATATTCGGCATTGTAGTTGATTTGGCTGGTTGGCCAGAATTCACATTCTTTCAACATCTCTTGGTTTCAATTCATCTGGCACCCAATTTCTTTGCTTATAAATGTACGCGACTGCTTTCAAACGTTTTCGAACGTTTGGCTGCTTGTGTGACTTCAAAAGTTTCTGCAAGCTTTTCTTGTGCTTGGCAACAATTTGCATCGAGTAATGCTTCCAGTTCTTTATCTTCAAACTTTTTAGGCCATGCTGGACATTCTTCGTCTTCCAAACCAATATCACTACTTTTAAATATTTAACCTTATGACCGAATATATCTGAATTTAGACAATCGGATAATTATAAATAGCGACTTACCGAATTATCCGGGTACCAACCATATGAACAGATAATCCATATGTACCTATTTTCAAACATTACTGTATGTAGATAAGCTGAAAGTTAAGAAAAAATATACACAGTTCACAAGTCGTATTATTTATCGTATTCCCTCGACCCTAAAATCATAACTAACTTTTACTTAAAAAAATTGTAATTTCTCTACAACTCTGATACATGTATATCTATAATATTAATATATCTGCAGTTTCTCTATTTCATCACTTTTATATAAGTTGATAGCACAACTATTAATTTCTCTTCTATTCTCCATTTTTTTTCTTTGTTTGTTGCTTTTCCATTTTACGAATATTCCACCCGAAAACTTGCATGCCACCAAAATATCGAGAATCGTTCTCAAAACTTCTTAATCTGTATCGATATTTGTATTTATTTATAGCAATAAATTATTATTCTACAAAAGAAGAAAAGGCAGAGGTAGGTAGAGAGGATGTCTGACTAAACACTTAGAAATGTATATCTTATAAATACTGCGTGTATTTAGAGCTAAAGGCGTTCAGGCCTTTTAAACACCTTTAACATAAGATTTATTTCTTACTTCATAGTCAAATAATGGAGTGCTGAAACATAGAAAAATCGTTAAGATATAAAACGACAGCACTCATTAGTTACCAATAAAAATAAATAGACAACAGTTGCCTACTTTTCAGCGCAATGATTAAATCCATTTTATACATTCCAAATTTCAATGTACAATTCAAATTTCAAACACTATTATTACTGAGGGCTATAAAATTTATGATGTGCCGATGATGTAGGGACACATATTTATATACTACGTGCATTTCCATCACCTTTCACCTCAGATCATTGACAACTTGGTCTAAAGTATTTAATTGGCTTAGCTTATCAGAACGTACAAATGATATTGTTGAGGAAAAATCTTGCTATAATTTTTTTTTAAAGTCAATGTGATTTCGACACCTAAATAATTTAGAAACCATCGATTAAAACCTTCCATATAAGAGACCAGCTATTCTATATCTAAAACTAAACTATAATTATTCGTTTAGCTTCAACAACTGCCAATTTCAGATTTATCCTAAAAAAATTAAAATAAAAAAAAATTTTATAAAGAGTAAAAATAAATCGAGTTTTGAAGTCTAACGCTGGATATGACTTAATTTAAAGAAATATATAATATAATACATAACAAATATACACTTTTCCATAATTACATTTTTACACATGGAGACTAAGTGGAATACGTGTAATCTTAAACTACTTATTACAAATTCCGAGTTTATGTTCTATCGAAAACAACCGTACATTTTTAGTATCCTTTATTTGTGGTATAAAAAAACAGCACTGCCGAAATAAAAATTGCGGAAATGTCAAAAAAACTAGGACGCGAGTTAATATCGAAAACGTGACAGCTCATATCCATTTCTGTTGCAGTTTTAATATAGAGACATAATTCTGAAAATGGTATATTTCTACCAAAATATATTTGACAATATTTTTTGTTATTTACGCTTAACTGATTACTATTATTTACTCCACAACCGATTGCTGACGTATTCTACTCCAACGCCGCTGCCCACTTGCACATTGCAATTGCTGTATGTTCAGCAGCGAATGCCAATATACCGATACACACATGTGAGCGGCATATTGCCACCGTGGCGTATGCGGTTGCACGTGTACACGTACGTTTCTTCCGTATTTCGACGAACCTCTAAACTTGAATCAACCCGAGTGTCAACATGCGCTTTAGGCGCGCACGCTTTGTTGACTGAGGCAGCAAGTGCATTGGCTTATTTTCCTATTAGAACGAAATGTCGTATTTTTTTAGGTTTATAGTACATGCGAGTAGTATTTCATGATGCAATGAAAGGTGTATACACTTTTGTGACAACGTGATATTCTTTTGCAATTCTGCGGAATTTACGGTAAGAATGGCAAGGTACACATTTCGGGTGCATATGCGGATAAATATGTACATACATGCATATATAAGTATCTACATATGTGCTGAAAATGCGCTCTCATCTCGGTTGATATGGAGGATCAACGGCGTCCACAAGTGACCCAACGTGCTGAGTAGCAGATTGATAAATAACAGACATTTGGCATAATGAGTTTGGGTATTTACAGAATGTGCGAAATATTTGTTCCAAACCAACTGTACTTTCAAAAACGATAATATGAAACTTATGAAAAGATATGTATGATTCTTATTCGCTATTTACACGGTCAAGCACACACTCGGATCAAGTAACGTTTTGGAACTTAGTCTGTTATAATATTGTTGCTAATGTGTTTGCAATAGAATCATATGTGTTCTTCCAAATATATATTATTTTCAACTCTTATCCCATTGATTCTGGTTGAGTTCCAAGAAGCTGGCGGTCTTGTTCGTATATCTTGTGGGATGAGATGGATTAGGTATGCAGGATCATTGAAGATAGTTGGAGAGTGGACATGTAACCGAAATTGCTATCATCTTATACCTTCGACCATTGATAGACAAATATATCTAAGCTGATCTTGTGTAAATTTCAGGTCGATCGATCTAGTCGTTTTGGCAGCCGATTACACTAAGGTAAAAAATTCTTACAAATACTCCTATATATCTGAAACTATTTGCCGGATTTTTTGAAATTCACAAATTGATATATTCTCTTAATCGTTTCACAAGTGATGCAATTTGTATCGTTGGTTCGTTTGCAGCTTATGATATATGAAGAGTTGAGCATGTTACAGAATACTTACTGATGATTTGTCCTAGCTGCAGAATGATGTGGATAGTCGAGAACATCTTGGGGAACTTTGTGCGGTGCTCAACGCCCGATTATTTATCTTAAACTGAGTAAATATAAGGACCGCTGTAACTGCTACAATTGGTTAAATTTTCTAGTGTTCGAGACAAATATTTTTGAGAGCAAGACTGACTTACGGGACTCAGCAACCTAATGTTAAAATGAATACCCTACCAAATAACCATATTCGAAATCTCGATCTGCTTAAATATATAAATATATACAGACATCTAGCTCAAAATCTATTTTAGTTGCAATTCAAATATATTTTGTCCTTCAAGTTTAAGTTTAGCAAGTCAACCATTCGCAATAAGAAACATTTACTGTTACATTAAATAGCTCGGAAAATAGACAATTCATAGTTTTCCTTTCAAAAGTACACTGGCAACATGCAGAATAGAAAATAGTCAAAGCCGCAAAAGTAAGTCGAATAACAAAGTTTTGCTTTGCGGGAAGCAGTCTCAATTACTTACACAATCCAACAACCTTCCTGAAACCATTCAGGCAAACTGAAATAAACCGAACACACCCCCTAAAGTGTGCACCCACATGTTTACTTTTAAACAGCCATACTCGTATATAGGCAGCTATATTTGTATGTACATAAGTATGTATTCACGCAGCCCACAATTCAATGTGTATCCCTATGCGGGACGCTGGCAAACTTTAAGCATAGATATGCCTGTTATAAATATTATCAATGCTCGTACGAAGGTAAAAGCAATACTTTCAATGCTCTACTCCTGCCGATTGATCTATAAATAGTACGAAGAATACCAACCCCAACCACAGTTTTGCCGACTGTGAGTGTATATGTTCGTATATGTATGTATATGTATGTATGGTATGTTGGTATAAGCAGCACGCATTGCTGGACACGCCGTCCGGCGTTGAGAGAGCGCCAACGAGAGAATATTCATGTGCAAATGCCAACCAACGCGACCGAAGAACGTGCAGACATGTGTGATGTGCTGGCTTCAAACCCCTGCTGCACTGCTGACGCTCAAGCGTTTGGAGCCGGCCACAACACACGCGGCATATACTCGTACTACGAAGAAAGGTGCCGTTGGTGTGGTGCTGATTGGCATTGATGTTGGCGATGGCGGTGAAACGTGATTGTGCGATAACACATTTGTGCATAAAACAAATTGTAGCGACGTTGGAGGCTCAGTCGTAGAAATAACGTCGAACAGCATTGTAAGGATTGAAAGGATAACAGCGCGAATCAATTTTAAACTCACAACAAGTGATAAATATTTTTCATATTATAATATTATATAAAAATATGGTGAAGAAATTTTAAAGAATTTGTGAAGAAAAAATTCTCATGATACAAAAATGGACTGAAAACAATTTTCGAAAATATTAAAAACAGTGAAATTATTTTATAATAATACTACAAACTAAAAAAAAAAAAACTTTAAAATAATTTTAAAAAAAGTATAAAGTGTATTTTTCGCCAAAAAATATATTTCAAATAATTAAAATATTTCTTTATTGTAAATAGTTTCAATAAGCCAGTGTATTGAACAAAATATATTTTAGTACAAATATTTTTTTAAAAAAGTACTAAAGCATAGTTTTTATGCCATAAAAGTGTAGTGAATTTTAATAACAACACTCTTTATACAAAAAGAACTCATAAAATAAGTGTAAGAAAAACAATTTGTAATTAAAAAAACAACGGATTACAAAATGGAGGGCGAATCAACGGAATCTACACACAACACCAAAGTGTCAGACTCCGCATATTCCAACAGTTGCAGCAATTCGCAGTCGCAACGCAGGTAAGATTGAATGAGAATATTGTAATTTTTACCGATACTACCACATTATACTCTATTAGAATATATAAGGCAAAAAACTATAAAAAAAAACATCAAAAAATTTATTATTTTTGCACTAAAGTAAATGTTTTATTTAGCCATAAGATTAGTTTTTAAAGTATTTTCAAGCTACCACTCTTATAGAAACCCTCGTCCATATTGACAAAAAACTGGCACAGTCGATTTTCACAAACCATAGAAAGAAACAGGTAGTAATGATGACAGGCCCTAACTATAAGGTAAATAGGCACACGAACCACCCAAATACCCACCCGGAGCTTCTATTGAGTTGCTATCGATGAGTGTGGTCTGACATTTTCCTAATGGAACTCAATTCCTCTTCTATTGGCCAAAGTGGTCCGCTTCTGGGCGATTGCTTCCTTCCGACGGTCCAATTGTTGACATAGCGGCCCGAGTCCAGAAGTTGGCTGTTTTTGGCCGTTTGAGCGTGAGCTCAATGTAGATGATTCTCTGCCAATTCCACCAAATACATAGCAAAACCTAACTGGCCGTCAATCATTGCTTGATCGTTCTGTGCGCTGGCTCACAGCGACCCGACCACGACCATTTTAGCTTTATTCGATTTTGTTGTGATTCAGCTACGATTCGCAGATGAAAATTCGGTCAATAAGATTAATTTACATTAACTCGTGTGGCCAAAATTAAAATTAGGCTTCCAGAGCGTGGTGCATCTTTGACATGAAAATAACGGCTAGCCGCCGAGCCGATGGCTTAAAACTTGTAAAACTTCGGGAGCTAACTAAAAAAACTTAACAAGTCAAATCAAATATCTCAATCAGTCTCCAACTATTATTATTAGGTAATGTTTATTGAATGCTTTTGTCGTTTCTAAGTTACATACAAAGTAACTATCTGTACTTCTTACTTTTTTAAAGCATCACATGATGCTGAGATGAAATCAGAAAGATCCCATGAATATTTATATCGATCGTATTTGAGAGTATTTGCGTTTGGCTTGATTTTTTTCAGTTAGTGCCAGTTCGCACAAAATAGCAACCGTCATGGTGGTTCAAGAGTTCATTTAAAATCAAGGGGGAGTTAGTATGTGATACTACTTTACTTCGAAATCTTTGCTTTTTTTCGAAAATTTTAAAATTTTTGAACAAAGTAATTTCGAGTTGTCTTCGATTTGACAACCCTGAAATAGTCGAAAATCAAACAAACAACTGTTATAAATAGATAGATTGCTATAATCAAATAAACAACTTGTGGTATCCACCTACTCTCTTCTTTGGAGATCAGAGGGATAACTGTTATTATTGCTTACAGAGCTTGGCTAAAACATTCTAATTATCTGCACGCGTCTATTAAGAGTCGAAGTGGGAATAGAACCAGTGCGATTGCAAGCACAATCACAATTATTTGCACTACTAACTACGTTTTCTGATTTGCAGTTAGCTATGACTAACGACCTGAGCACATTTTTCCATAAATAACATTGTATAACCACAAATCCGAAAGCCAACGCAGAACTTACGACAAAGTGCACAAAACAACAAAGAATGAGTGTTGCTAGTGTTTTCCGTCACACTAGTTTACGCTAAGTCCAACTATAAAAACAATGTATGTTCTAGCTAAAAGCAAATCGTTAATTTTATATAAAACCAGAAACATGTACCAATAAACGTGACCGCTGACTGTCCGCATTCATTGAGTGCTCATATTGTGACTCGCTCAGTTAGCTCAATTGAGTGGTTTTCAACGTTACAATGCAAATAAGTGAGAGGGATTTCAAAATAGCGAACGAGAGTGGTTGCACACCGGCATGGGTACATACTCGGTTTAAAGTACATTTATGGATAGTAATTATATGTATATACATACATATGTATGTATGTATGCTTATAGTTGAGGTTCATTTTATGATCAGGAATTATTTCATCTCAGAATATAAGTTAATAATAATATTAACCGGAGGGATACCGGCTATGCCCTTTCAATGAAAATTTAAGAACCAAATCCTTTCAAGGAAGCTTTCAAGGTTATACCATTCGAATTGACCCAAACACTCCGGTCTTTGAGAATAAGAAAGCATTATCTGAAGTATAAAATTGCTCTGGCCTTGTTTGGGACAACCAATAGCTTTTAACTGTATCGGATATAGCGTCTTGAGCAGCAGTAAGATTCATCTCAGTTTACAAATCTGCAATTAGAGACTGAACTTATTGTGGAACGCGATTTAACCAAGTTTGAGTGAATATAGAGTTATTTAGACAACCGGCTCTCTGTATATGTCTGCATGGGTATGTCTTACAATAGTGTAGTAATATCCCTCATCTATAGCAAAATAAAAGCCTGAGTTTTTAGTAAATCATCAAATCGATTACCTCCTTTAATCGAGAAAACTGAAGTATGAAAATGCAAGGAATTCTAGAAGAAGATTGTGAGACATACTCTTCGCAGTTAGTAATGAATAAGTCAACTCTGTTAATATATAGACAAGGGACCCATTTTAACGCTCAAACGAAGAGAGAGATATGGTCGGAAATATTTCTCACAAGCTCCGCTTAATCCGTTAGTCAGTATATAGCCGAAGGTACTACAAAATTATCAGAAACCATCGGCAAGTTAAAACTATATTCTGTGATCTCACTGAAGATAATAGCACCTCTTGAATAATCCTTGATAGAAAAGTTTGAAGGCAATTAATTGCACTATAAGCCCTGCTGTATGATCGAGCCGATATTGATGTCATCTTAAAAATATTTAAGATTGATTTCGATTATAAAAGCCTGATATATGATAACATCACATAAAATGAATAATATTTTAATATTTCTTTGATTGAATTTCATTTCCAGCGGCAGTTCTAAATCACGTCTAAGCGGTAGTCACTCATCTGGCAGCAGCGGCTATGGCGGCAAACCATCAACGCAGGCGAGCAGGTATGTAACCAAATCCAACACTTGACCCGAATCCTTTTACACCCGATGACGTCAATATTAACTGTTATTTAATACATTAAACTCAACTACTGTTTTTGTTTTTGTTTTTTCTTCGTCATTAAATATTTGTTTGGCCTAATCACAGCAGCGACATGCATATTAAACGCGTCAAAGATAAGACACGCAAGAAGAAGAAGTTGAAGTGTTCGGCACAAACGAATATTCTGGAAAATCAGGACGATGTCCCGAATACCAGTGAGCCAAAAAGTGAAGAGCAAATCACTTTAGGCTGCGACAAGGCAATCGGTAAATTGATACTTTCATATCTCGTACGCAATTTCCAAAATATTATATAAGTACCTAGTAGAACATGCAAAGGGCAATAATTCATTCATTTAACAATATGTTCATTAATTGTAGCGCAATGTAGTCGCCAGAAGGAGAATAAAGAGACGTCATTATTGCTGGAAAAGGAGACAACCGAACAAACTAAATCGGAGATTTCATTACAATTTCCTACACCATCGCCGTTATCTAGTGAGTTCCTTACACTTATCATGTATTTATAGATACATGCGTTTAACACACTCATATTTTTGAGAAATTTCAGTGGTTAAGGAGTAAAGGACATATTAAATAAATAGACTATTTTCTTACCTTAATTTAAGATACATTAAAAATTCTGGAAACTATTACAACATTATTAATTTTATACAAATATGAATTAAATTTTCTGGTGTGTGACTTCGATAAGTTATTTAACTATCCGCCTAATTGTAGGCAATATATCACTTTTATAATTTTATAGCTGTGGCTAAAGAATGAAATCAAAACATTTCACATAATAGGCCACTTGTGGAAACTCTCAAGTTTATATATAATATATTATTCACACGAAATGTACATGTCTAGTTTTCATTATACCGATATGACGGCCTATTATTTCGTACTCAGCGAGTTAAAACCCCGACTGAACAAAGCCTACTCTTCGGCCAAATCTGTCAAACTGTCAACTATATTTTTGACAGAAAAATCTTATCTTGAAATCAATCGGCTTTTCCAAGAAGCCTTAAAGATTTTAATTACCACACGAAATTCGGTCGAAGGGTCTCAAGAAAAAAATATACATGTATATGAAGAATCCGTGGTATTGAAAAGTAAGTGTGGAAACAAAGATATAACCGGGAAACAAGTTTTCGAACCATAAAATAGCGTCTGCGGGCGTAGCAGCATAACATAACAGATTAGAAATTAATATTAATTAATAAACTCTACAAACCCTAGAAGTACAAAAGATCTTTATGGAATATCCAATAACCTAATTTGCTCCACCTTGTAGTAAACATTATCCAAAATTCCTAACTTATTGTTTTAGATTAATTTCCTGGGATATACAATTATCTAATTTTTATTTCAATTTTATTTTTTACTTCCAGCTGCCACACAGCAAGGTGGAAAATCAGAGAGAACCTGCAAATCCGCACCAGGGAAATTGGAAAGCTCAGGCAAGGCGGAAAAACTTAAGGAGGTAAGAATTTAGAATTAGAACATACTTAAGTGAGTTCATTTATTTTTTTTTTATATTAATGTTTGTGGAAACTATTAGGCAAAACAAGAAGGAACGTTAAGTTCGGCTGCACTGAAGCTATAATACCCTTTGCAGGGCATAAAAGGGTATAAAAATATCTTTATATTGATCTTAGTCGAACAGTCTGAACGGTAGTTTTATGCTATAGTAGTCTGATCTAAACAATTTTGTTCGGAGATAACAAATTTGCCTTGGACAATATTTTATACCGAATTTCGTAAAAATATCTTGTCAAATAAAAAAGTTTTCCATACAACGATTGGAGTTTGATCGATCAATTTTTATGACAGCTATATTTTATAGTGATAACCGATATCGGCGGTTCTGACAAATGAGCAGTTTCTTGGAAAGTTCGCGTATATACAGACGGACAGACAGATGGGCATTGCTAAATCGACTCAGCTCGTCGCGCTAATCATTTATGATATATAAATATATATTTTTTAGGGGCCAGACGTTTCCTTCTGGGAATTACAAACTTCGTGGCAAACTTAATATTCCTGTTCAGGGTATAAAAACCCTACCACAATTTATGAATATGAATATCAAAACTATTTCAAAGATTTTTCAAATTAACCTTCTCGGGGAATCGTTAATATTAATCAAATCGTAACGATTTACATATTTTACCTTATGTGATTCAAGAAAATCCGAAAAGAGATATTTGATTACACTGCAAACCCACAATTTGTAGGTCACATTCTAAATTTGTAATAGTAGAGTGTACATCTCTTAAAGTGTTAAAGATTTCGGTCTTCGGCGAAACCCAATATTACGCTAGAGTTTGTGAAATTGGTGTAAGAAAAAATACACCGCTTAAGATTCAAATTGATCCCTTATTCTATTTAGTTGATGTATCATACTAGTAACTTAAATTTTCTTAACCCTTCCCCCTATAGGAGAGCTTCTGCTGTGTGATATCGATGCATGATGGTATAGTGCTCTTCACAACGCCCAGCATTACCGATGTGCTTGGTTTTCCACGCGATATGTGGCTGGGACGTTCGTTCATAGATTTCGTACACCCCAAGGATCGCGCCACCTTTGCCAGTCAAATAACGACGGGCATACCAATTGCAGAGTCTCGCAATAGCGCTCCGAAAGATGCGCGCAGTACCTTTTGTGTGATGTTACGCCGTTATCGCGGTTTAAAATCTGGTGGTTATGGTGTCATCGGACGTCCGGTCAGTTATGAACCCTTCCGTTTGGGATTGACATTCCGTGAAGCACCCGAAGAAGCGCGTCCCGACAATAATCTCGTATCGAATGGTACGAATATGTTGCTAGTCATATGCGCCACGCCCATCAAGAGCTCATATATAGGTATGTATACATATTTAACTAGAAATTTGCTGGCTCATTTGCATCAGCGTATTTTTTGGCAAATTCTCTTACAGTGCCAGATGAGATACTCTCGCACAAAAGCCCTAAATTCTCCATACGTCACACAGCGACGGGTTTAATATCGCATGTGGACAGCGCCGCCGTATCCACATTGGGCTATTTACCACAAGATCTTATTGGACGTTCAATATTTGACTTTTATCATCCAGAAGATCTTATGGTATTAAAGGAGATCTACGAAACTGTTATGAAGAAAGGACAGACAGCGGGCGCTTCATTTTGTAGTAAACCGTATCGTTTTTTGATACAGAACGGCTGCTATATTTTGTTAGAAACAGAGTGGACAAGCTTTGTGAATCCGTGGTCGCGAAAATTGGAATTCGTTATAGGACATCATAGAGTGTTTCAAGGTAAGATCAAGAAAAAACTAGCGCTGAACGTTGATAACGAAGTTGTATTTCCAATTTTAGGGCCCAAACACTGTAATGTTTTTGATTCGGCACCTGCTAATAAGCCGAAACTTTCGGATGAAGTACGCAGTCGGAATATGCGCATAAAAGATGAGATACTCAAACTACTGGAAGAGTCGATATCGAGACCATCGGATACTGTAAAGCAAGAGGTATCGCGACGTTGTCAAGCTTTAGCATCGTTTATGGAAACTCTAATGGACGAGGTGACGCGCACCGACCTTAAGCTCGAGTTACCACATGAAAATGAGTTCACAGTCTCCGAACGAGATTCGGTGATGTTGGGCGAGATTTCGCCACACCACGATTACTACGACAGCAAAAGTTCGACGGAAACGCCGCCCAGCTACAACCAACTGAATTATAATGAGAATTTGCAGCGTTTTTTTAACAGCAAGCCTGTTACCGCACCCGTCGAGGTCGACCCAATGAAGAATGAACAGTCCTACAGTATTTCGGCTGATGCACGAAACACGCTCAGTCCGGTGCAGTGTTTCGAAGGCAGCGGCGGTAGTGGATCCTCGGGAAATTTTACATCCGGCAGCCACATACACATGAGTAGCATTACAAACACCAGCAATGCCGGTACCGGTACGTCATCGGGCAGTGCACAGTTGGTCACGTTAACCGAATCGCTATTAAATAAACATAACGACGAAATGGAGAAATTCATGCTGAAGAAACATCGCGAGGCACGCGGTCGTTGCGGCGAGAAGAGTAAGAAGGCAACCGAAAAGGTAATGGAGTATAGTGGGCCGGGGCATGGTCTTAAGCGCGGCGGTTCGCATTCATGGGAAGGAGATGCCAACAAACCGAAACATTCGCATACTAATGTTATGGATGCGCAACGCGATTACGTGGATCACCACAATATGGCGACAAATTCGACAAGCAAAGCGTACGGCACGCTACAAACGACACTGGGTGAAACATCGTTTGCCGGTTCGTATGCAGCAGCCGGTCTTTCCTGCACGCGCAACGTCAACCTTTGGCCACCGTTCTCGGTTGGCATCAACACCTCGCACACATCGCAGACGGTGGCGCAAAGCGGATTCACACCGCAACACGGCATCTTCCCGACATTCTACTACATACCAGCGACCGCAGCGGCTGCTGCCGTTGCCGCCACACAGACGCAAGTCAAACCCAACTTGGCCGACATGCCGAGCACATCGGCACAAGCTCTGCCGCTGCAATATATGACTGGCGTTATGTACCCACACCCCTCACTCTTCTATACACATCCGGCGACAGCCATGATGTACCAGCCCATGTCGTTCTCAAATATGGCCAATTCTTTGGCGTTGTCGGAACAAGGCAATAGCGCGAGCGCTTTCAAAACTGTTAGTATATATGGAGCATATATTTCAGGATTGATAACTTTATACATTATTATTAATTTCACGAACAGAATCAACCTGTTATGCTAGCGCCGACGCCAACGAAGACGCAAGGCGCTTTCCACTCGATCACACCCGCGCAATTTCAACGGCCGTCTTCACAAGCGACGTCGGTAAAAGCCGAACCCGGCTCTAATATGGTAAGGATATTCGTTTTAAATATACAGTAGGGAAAATTATTATTTATTTTATATACGAAGGCGCCTTCGGATTCATCGAAAAAGGGTATTGCTGACTCTCCAATTCCATCGGTTATCGGCGATTATGTGTCGGATCAACTCAATCCAAATGATCTGAAGGTGCGTAAGTGATTTATGTAGATTAAGTAGACATTTAGATTAGTTATGTGAATATTATAATTTTTCAAGGAATGATATTTAGCGAAACGATCGAACAGATCGCTAAGCTATAATTTCAGAATAAGAAGCTCTACTCTTGTGAAAAAACTCGGGATTACTCGAAAAAAATGGTGGTCGATTGGCCGAAGGTTTCTGGGGTAAACAACGTAGTAGACATTACTTGCAGTCGTTCCCACGATAGTCGCCTCTACGTAACCGTGACGAAAATAGATATGTTGTCGGCCCAAGGCTGCCAACTCAGCAGGTTTCTTCAAAATTATTTAGCGAATGTTTTCGACAGCTACAAAAACAAAAGAGTAGTAGACCAGAGCATTCTGTCACTTTTGAAGTGTGATATTTTGACAGGTGATCCTACTGGTCATCTCCGCGTTCTAACCACTTGACTAAATGATTAAAAGCTCTCGTGTAATAATTTGTGGTTTTGTTACGAACCTGGAGCTTATAGTATATATAGTTAAAGAATAAATACTCTCGAGTACTTTTCGAATATTTCACTAGGCTTAGTTCGCAGTTAATCGTTATAGACGATATCTCTACATAATCATATGACCGTTGTATTTCAAGCCTACCACTCGATAGGTCATGGTTTCATATCCCGATATCCTCGAAGCATGGTTTCAGCAACCAAGAGGAAAAATATTTGAGACATTTGCGATAAAAAAAATCTTTCCCGGAAGATTCTTTTTTGCGAGAATACTTTAAAAAATTGCAATTATTTATTTTTGCAGCCCCACACGGATAGCAATGCCAACAGCGATGACATGGATGGTTCCAGCTTCTCATCTTTTTACTCCTCTTTCATAAAAACCACCGACGGATCGGACAGTCCACAAGAAAACGATAAAGATGGAAAACATCGAAAATATAAGGTACGTTTACGAATGGGTTTAAGACATTGTACTTCTTTCTAGGGAGGTTATTTTTACTTATATTGAAAAGTATAATAAAATTGAAAAATTGAACAAAAATAAAAAATTCATATTGATTGCACTGACTCTAAAATACCCTTCCATACAAGAACTCGATTTTGATTGATCAGCTTATATGGCAGCTATATGATATAGTAGTCCAATCTGGAGGATTTCAGAGATCTTAGCATTACTTCAGACAATAATCCATGCCGAATTTCGTGAAGATATCTTGTGAAATAAAAAAGTTTTCCTTACAAGGACAGCATTTGAATCGGTCAGTTTGTATGACAGCTATATGCTATAGTAGTCCGATATCAGCGGTTCTGACAAATGAGTCGACTTTTTTTGAATGAAAAGAACGTGAGATCCATATCTCAAAAACTGAAGGACTAATTCGCGTATATACAGACAGAGGTACATGTATATACCATATGTACATATTTTATAGGGTCTCCGACGTTTCTTTTGTGTGTTCAAGGTATAATAAATGAGAAAGGAAGAAATGATTGAAAAAAAAAATTCAGCAAAAGTTCTAATAATCTAATCTAATCTAATGATACACGAAAAATAAATCTCATATTTCTATATATACGAATATTCTACAGAATTAACCCATATGTTTTACATTATATTTAACCTTGCTCTTCCAGGTACAAACCGACTCTAAATCAATGGATAATGCAGAAGAAGACCAGACATTACATGGCGATGGTTAAGTACACGTGAGTTGCTCATCAACGTGATGGCAAGTTTTGTGGCAACGTGACGATCAGTAAGCGGCAATTTTATTTACAAACTATTCCCATACAAGTCCACTTTGGCACAATTTACGATACGAAGAAGTGTGAGTCAAGCGTGCACAATCACATTGGAATATTTTTAAAGCAGAATTCAACTTATTCTGAATTTCAGATTAGCGCAAGTATTGTCGCTGGCATACAATTAAATGCTGAAAATCATAATTTGCGATTCGCTACGTAACAATTGTGACGACGCTATGGTTATGAACCCCATTTTTTTAACGGACGTAGTCTTTATATAGAAATTGTTTATGTACATAAGAATATACATATGCAAAATTAAATTAAATTAAAACGAAAAATAAGGAAGTTTACTCTGTTACGCAACAAAGTGAAATACAATAAAGACAGAATATATTTATTTAGAAAACAAAGAAAACAAGAACTTACTTATATGCAACATATAGTTTTTCATTTTCGTTTCTTTTTCGGCTTAGCGCTACTACTCTCCGATTTCTCCTTATCAGTGGGTTTTTTAGCTGACTTCTTGTTTGTTGTTTGAAATTGTTGCAAATCGGCACAAAAAAGCACAGCTTGCGCCCAACCCGCATACGGTCCGTAAATGTTACGTAAATGATTTGCAATTTCTTCATAAATGCGCGGTGTGACGGTTTTCACCGTCGCCAATTGTTCGGGCATATAAACAGTTTGTGCAACCTTATAAATATGAGTATCAATTGGCACTGCCTCCAAGTGACCCAACGACATGAGGCAAATGCAATCGGCCACTTTGTAACCGATACCAGGTAAGCGTACAAGTTCCTGTCGTGCATCCGCGTAAGACATCTCACGCAACTTTGTAAACCACGATTCACCGCCAAACTCTAGAATTTTCGCTACAGTCTGCGCGATAAATTTAGCACGATAGCCAAATTTGGCTTCACGCAAATTGACTTCTAACTAAAAATAAAAAAAAAAGTTTGCATATTTGGAATATAATTATGATATACTATATGAAATACATACCTCCTTTTGATTTTCATTTAATGCTGAGAGCGTGGGAAAAGTGAATTCCTCTCTTTCATTGAAATGTCCAATACTTTGACCATATTTCGAACAAAACCAGTCAATCATTGCAGAAATTCTTAAGCAAGTATGGTAAAAAAGAATAAAAGAATTTTTCAGCAATAAGATAATAATTTTATTATATTATGAATAATTAAATTAGATTTTAATTTTAGAACTCTTACATCCTAACAGTACTACTGCTCGGTTATTTATTCTATGGATTGGTATAGTAGTTTTGGAAATACAAATAAAAAATAGAGCTACTTTTACACTTAAAAAACATAAGTTGCATCAAAACGGCACTGTTGCTTTGAGTATACAGTGGATGAATTATTTCAATTATCAATAGGTTCTTACCTTTTAATGTGATTGTTTTGGCTGCATATGAATGATAATATATTTTCCAGTGGTTCTTGATCCAACACTCGCACAGCTTTAATATGTGGCGTTATAGTATCAAAGTGATTGTGGGCCGAGCGCCACTTATCCATATTTTTATTTAAATCGAAATTAAGGCGGAAATAACGTTGCAATAATTTTCGATAATAGTCCGCTTTGTGTGTATTTGTGTTAGGCACATCCGGTGCTGGGTAGACTTTGTATGAAATAGCGGCATCTGTTTGACTTAATTGCCAATATGCATTATATGCTACTCCTTGAAATAATGGCGATTTAGTATCACTCAAATTAAGTTTCCTCCAGCTATAAAGGATACATAATTGATTGAAATATTAAACGTCTTTAATATGCAGTCTCACCGGAAACTCTGCCCACCCACTAGGGTAACTTCTAAATTTAGCAGATTGGCTGGTACTGCTATTTCGCCAGCAAAAGAAAACCCCATTGTAAACTTATTTTTGAAGTTACTTTTTACTTTGCATTTAAATTTAAATTGAAAGATTTGATTATACGCCCTGCAAAGAACAGCTGAGCGGGATTTATAAATCATGTTTACGAAACGGTGTTGTGAAACGTTGATATAAATTTTTTCATATTGGTTTTTCGCATAATTAATATTCGAAACTCACTGCGTACAGCCACAATAATTCTAATAGTGAGTTAATTTGGCTAATACTACATAGTTTTTTTGATGATTTTTATATAAATTGAAGCTTGTAGATGATTGACAATTCTCATTTGACAATCAGTTTTGACAGCTGTTGCACCTATAGTTCACAATAACGAATAAGAAGAAGACAAATCGGTCGCACTTTTTCACAATCAATTTCAGCAGTCATACGTTTTTTGGGCTTCATTCAATTTGTTTGGTTGTGGTGTGATTTTTGTGGCGCACACGCGTACAACAATAATATAAATTGTGGTTGGGATTTTATTTAGTGTGTTTTGAATAATGCAAAGTTAAATTACATAAATAAATAGTGACAAAATTTTTAGTGTAAATTCGATTAAACGCATATACACAATTGAAATGTGTATACAAAAATTTTGAAACGAATAAATACATGTGCCATACAACCAAATATATTTATTTCGCAACATACTAACGCGAATTAATTAAACAAAATTATAATTATCTATGAGCTTTATAATATTATCCTTTCAACTGCTTTACTGTCAGTTTAATAGCAACAATAACGTTTTGCTAAAAGTGGTAAGCATTAGGTAAACACGGAAATCAACAAATAGAAACAATTGAACATAGAAGTGGAACAAAGAAAATACATAAATCTAATTTACAGTGTGTGTGGAAAAAGAGTAAATTGTCACATCGAGAGCGTGCTTTAAAGCGTATCAGAAATTATTGAGCGAGTGGAACATTGTTTAATTGAAAGTAATTAGTAAAAAATATTTTGATGGAATTTGAAAATACGCAATTTATTGAAGCTGCTGCTGCAGCGTCTGCTACAACTAGTATTGCAAAAGGTAATTCAAAAATTCTGAAAAATGTCCAATTAAAAATGGTATTTAAATGAATATCTCTAATTTATTGCAGATATACCTGTCGCTGAGCATATGCAATCCGGTTCCGGCCGCTTATCGTCCAATGGCAATGACGCGACAACCACACAATCGGCGTCCAACACTACATTGGAAAATAAACAAAACCCCCCAAAAATGCAAAAAGAAGCAATGTCTGCCGATGAGCGAAAAGCAACAAAACGATCTCTTGTCATACTGGCAGCGATCTTTACAGCCAGCATATTCGCAATGGCCTACGTATACATGATATTTCCCGAATTGAATGAGTAAGTAGTATATATTACGTGTGGATGGGGTGATCACTTCAATGCCAATGATTATACGAATTGTATATTGGTTTTTTTTTTTTGCTTTCCTACTTCCCACAAATGTACATACACTTATGTATGTATGTATGTGACGTATTTGTTGCTTTGTGGGAAGAGTTCTAAATTAATGGCATTCAATTTAAGTGTTTGAATAAAAGTAGATGTCATTAATGGTAAAGCGTTTGATGTTTTCGATAAATTTATTGCATATTAGTTGCCCTCTATCGCTTAAAAGTTATTCCATAATTGACAGAGTAAATAGTTTGCCGCTTCTGTGATGGCACAAAGTTAGACAAATATGACGAGCTAATATAAACATTAATAGTTTTTTTATTGAACGTACATTTATATATTTAATACATGGTTAAAATGCGATAACGCTGCATTGAATATAACATAGAACGTAATTAAAAAACGAAAGTAAATGTAATGAGTAAAAAGCAACTAAGATATGTATATTTTTTTTTTACTCGCTGACACCTGTTCAAACTAATATGTTTGTATATATAGGAAAATTTATAGACTTACACATCCGCTACAAAAATTCCATTTAATACACATATGTGGCATATGTATGTTCTTACCTTTTAGTATTATTGTGTTCAAAGTTCGTTTTGAAGAAAATGTTTATATTACTATATGAATCAGAAAAGTTTAACATAATTTAAATTGTGAAAGAAAATTGAGAAATGATTGACATATCACTTCAAAATTGTAAAAATAATTAAACTGACTTAACTACATAAATATTTGTACGGTGTGCTAATAACCTTAAATAATAATAGTCATTAATGCACTAATATGCTTGAGTACAAATAATTATCACAAAACCTACACTTCGCTTAAAATTCAGAAATTAACTTAAAATGAAGCAGAAATATGAGACTTTACCAAATCAAATATAAACATAACTTAAATTTCATATAGCAGTCCAAAACGCAAATTGCATGGTGAACGATAATGCCAGCAATAACAACAACATAATGCCACGTTTTCTATCCATACTTTTCCATTTGCTATCTTAATAACTTTTCACTCACTTAAATTTTGTTATTTCAATTATACTGCAGTTCTACGCTGCCAACTTAAATTGACATTTGCAGGCGTAAACCACGTAATGTAATAGTTGCTACATCTCTATAGGGATGCATATATGCATATGTATGTACTAATGTAATGCAAATAATGAATAAATTTCCTATGCCATTAATGTGGCACTTCGCAGAAAACAATATGGAGATAAATATATAAATTTTGTATAAATGGCAGAAGCACAGTTAAAACTCTTAACGAGAGTTAATTATGTGTATATCACATCCGTAATTTGATTAGATGTAGCATATAAAAAAGTATAATAATCTGATGTCGTAAAATTCTATTTGGCACTCAATTACCTTTGAAGTGTTGTATTTGAAAATGCTCAAAATCAAGTTCAGCTGTTATGGCTGCCATGCCTAAATACATATGTTTGTATCTACATACATTCAATGTATTATTATTCATTTTTTTTTTAATTTGCTTTGTTAGCGTACACAGTACGTATTTGTTTGGTATACATATTTGCGATTCTGCTTTCAATTTGTCACATGCAATACAATTTGAATTCCTCTCACACTGTTCTTTTGTGTCCGGCAAAAAATGTTTCATATATATTTTTGTTGTTGTTTTTTTATATTGCAGATTGGAGAAACAGCACATTAAGATACCCCGTGACATTCAAGACGCTAAAATGTTAGCCAAGGTTTTGGATCGTTACAAAGACATGTACTACTTCGAAGTGATGTTTGGCGTCGTTACTGCTTATGTATTGTATCCTTTTTGAAAATTTTTACGCCTTCGAAAGGTTTGAGAAAAATTCAAGAAATTGCTATCCCATATTGTGTTGCCGGTTTGTATAAATTCTTAGAATGTACATACATACATGTTTATATTGGCGTATGCATACCCACGTGCGCATATCTCGCTAATAATACACAAATTCCAAATCAGATGGAATTCTTGTGTGTGTGTGTGTTTCAAACATATTGTAGATATCATACTCATATATATCTATGTTTGAAACACACATATATGCATACAGTCTTATCGAAGTGTGGTGTCGGGTATTTTTGAAAAGCATGCTCGGTTTATTAAATAATCGCGGCAGTACTGAAAAAATATTTTTATAATTTCCATGCTTTTGTATCACAAATAAATTTTTTTTTAAATTACTAATCTTTTTATCACTAGTTATAGGAAACTTCGATAGCACCAACAAGCAAGACGGTGTTTTTTTTTTTATATATTTATGTGATAAATAACATAGTATTTATTTCCACAGAAAGCTTCAGATTAACGTTTATTACTTGTGTGTATTGGGTATATTAGCGCTAGGCTAATATTTCTTCCCTACTCGTATTCTCAGTCACATAAACATTGTGGACGTCCAAAGTTCAGTCTAAGCGCTTAATATGTATAAGATTACCTTAAATTAATCAACAAAGTTACGTAATCTCGCTTTAATAATTCAGTTCACAAATTGTCTATACATAGAGTACATATGTACATACATAAATAAGAAACCATAATACCCTTTACAAACAATAAAGTTTCTATGCAAGAAATTGATTTTGATCCTTCAGTTTGTATGTCAGCAATATGCCTTAGTGGAGCGATATTGTTGGTTCCGACAAATGAGCAGTTTCTTGGGAAGAAAAGAACGTGTGGAAATTTTCAGATCGATATCAGAAAAACTGGCGGATTAATTGTCGTATATACAGACAGGCGGACATAGCTAAATCGAATCAACTCGTCACGCTGATCACTTATATACATATATATATATAGTACATATTATAAGGTCTCCCACATTTCCTTCTGTGTGTTACAAGCTTCGTTGCAAACTTAATATACTTACCTGTTAGGGTATAAAAAACGTGAATGATTACGTGTACTTTCACCGAGTCGCGGTGCATGCATACATACTTAACTATGTACTTTTATATAAGCGAGCACAATTTTTACAAAAGTCGTTGTGTCTAATACATATACATACGTGCTTATGTATTTTTTAATTTTGTTAATTTTTTGACGTTGCGGCGCCGCAAAGCAACTGAGGCCAATAAACCGAAAGGCTCATGTCAGTTAAGCAACAGAAAGCAACAACCTTGACCTAATTTCAATATACTTAAGTACATTTGTCGTCTGTATTTTTGTCGCGTGCGACTTCATTGTTGTTGACTTCACTAATGCTATTGTTTAATACATATTTCATTTTCCTTTTCAAATGCTTTCCTCCAATACCGAACTAAAACGGTATTGTGTTTGCGCGAGCGCAGGCATTTAAGGCAAATACCTTTTGTTTGCACAGCACGATGGAAACGATTGGTGAAAAAGGTCTGCCATATCTAAGATAGGCGCATGCGTAAACACAATTCAATACGTTAGTCGAGGCGCCCGAAAGTCAAATGAGATAATGTCTTTAGTGATATTAGAGTAAACATTGAATTGGAAAATCTCCAATGACACAACAGTTAGACAAATAAGACACACACACATACAACAGTAGTTGCTGAGGGTAATCGCTTTTCACCTTTTTCTGTGGCGACACCTGTGTCAATGAACCGTTATCAGCATATTTATTATCTCTAAATTGTAAGTGGTTAACACAAATTATGAATTCTAGCGGCGATGTATGTATGATGTAACATATAATAGTTAATTATGCTTGAAATATAGTTATAAGATAATTTTATTTCATTTTTTATGCAAAATTTGCATTTATGTAATTTTTTTCCCCGACAATTAATTGATCAGGGGGGGTCAAATGCATTTTCGAATACTAAAAAAGTGAATAACTAATTTTAACAACAGCTTAATAGTTTTTGTTTAATATATATATATATATTATACCCTGAACAGGATTGTTTTAAGTTCGCCACGAAATTTTTAATACCCAGAAGGCAACCGGTACGGACCCGGATTTTTATCCGGCCAAGAACTGTCAACTCGGCAGAGTTCTGCCGCTACTACAACAACAACTCTATAAAGAGTCGATCTAGCCATGTCCGGATGTATATACGCGAACTAGTTCCTCAATTTTTGTGATATCAACCCTAAAATTTTACACACATTCTTTTCTCCCCAAGAAACTGCTCGTTTGTCGGAACCGCCGATATCGAACCACTAGAGGACATAGCTGCCATCGTTCGATAAAAATCAAGTGCTTGTATCGAAAACTTTTTGTTTTTCACAAGATATCTTCATGAAATGTGGCATGGATTATTTTCTAAGACAGCACTACAATCTCCGAACAAATTGTTCGGATTGGACCACTATAGTATATAGCTGCCATTCAAACTGATCGGTCAAAATTAACCTAAAGAACTTTGTTCACCCTTTTATGTTATAAAAAATGCTACTGTGAAGGGTATTATAGCTTCGAACCGAACCGAAGTTAACATGTTTGCTTGTTTTTAAATAGAGTTAGGTAGCAGTGAAGCCGCGCAAGCATTTTCCGATAATCATAAAATATAATACTATGTATTCTTTATTTTCAGAAAAAGTATCGTTTTTTAGTAATGTAATACGTGATCGTGACTACCGTGCCATATAAAAGTTAATAATTACGAATATTCGCGATCGTATGTTGTTGTTGTCGCAATCGTATCAATTAGTTTGCTCATGCACTGTAAATTGAAATATGATGTGTATATATTATATGAAAATATACATATGCATGTAAAAAAATTTTTAAAGCTAGATTAAATTTCAACATCCAAAGCGTTCTTTGGCTTCATTAGTATGAGAACTCAGAAAATATTTAAAATATGTAAATTAACATGAGAAAGTTATTTTGACTGAATTTGCTGTTTACACAATAATATATTAAAAAAAAAAAATTTACGCTGGTAGAATTGTCGGTGCTAAATTTAACGATCACGAACTCGTGGGAGAGCCTTTACCGAGTCGATATTTTTATAGCAAATTCAAATTCAAATTTTCGAATTTATATATCTTGTATTATTTTCGCTAATCAACACTGTTTTCCTTAACTAACTAATTTTCACACAACACACGAACACAGCCTACAAACCTTTGCCATTCCAGGATCTTTATTCCTTTCCATACTATTAGGATTTCTCTACAAGTTTCCCATCGCCCTCTTTCTCATCTGCTTCTGTTCATCGTTGGGCGCTACACTATGCTATAGTCTCTCGAATTTGGTTGGTCGTCGCCTGATACGCCACTTTTGGCCCAAGAAGACAAACGAATGGTCCAAACATGTGGAGAAGCATCGCGACAGCCTCTTCAACTATATGCTCTTTCTGCGCATGACACCCATCTTGCCGAATTGGTTCATCAACCTGGCATCGCCTGTAATCGGTGTTCCCGTGTACACGTTCGCCTTGGGCACCTTCTTTGGCGTGGCACCGCCGTCGATTGTCGCCATACAAGCTGGCAAGACATTGCAAAAGATGAGCAGCTCGAGCGACGCGTTCTCATGGACATCGATGGGATTGCTGTCAATATGCGCATTGATCTCACTGCTGCCAGGATTGCTGAAGAACAAGCTGAAAAAGAAAGTCGAATAAAGTGGCGTCTGCGCGTTAACTGCGGTAATCGGGGATTGGATTATTGAACGGCGCTTTCATTACGACTAACGGGACTGAACAGTGCGTTATTTTGTGTTATTGATTGATTGTCGATTAGTTTAAGTGCGTGCGTTAAGCGTTAAGCAAATGAGATGAAGCAGAAAACATAGAAACACCCAACGTAGCTGCACGTGTATGTATGTTTTACATTTTTTTTTTTGGTTCCTTGATATTTTTTTTTATAGAATAATACAAGTGCTATGTACATGCTATGATTTCACCTACACATAAGTAACGAAAAACAGTTGAAATGCTGCAGTTTATTGCTTATTTCCTTTGTATGTACGTATATATGTACATTATATATATGTATATTATTCCAATAACAATTTAAGCTGCTACAAAATATAAGTTAGTTAAATATTAATTTATTTATTTGCAAACTCTAGCACTTACATTGCTTTGCAGTATTCCGATCAGGGTTGTGAATTTTTTAAGTTATAAATTTAAAATCTCATTTTTAATCTCAATTTTGCAATTTTCAATTCCAATGTCGGGCTTAAAATTTAAAAATACAACTTTAATGCGATTTTTGGGCTTAAAATTTTTTTTTTAATTATCGTCCCGTATTTGGCATTACATTTTTTCAATTTCAATCCGGTATTGGCGCTTACAAAAAAAAAAAAACCAAAAAATGAATTCAATTTTTTTTAATGCAATTATTTTTTAATGCAGTATTTGCAACCCTGATTCCAATTATAATTTTTTTTTCTTTAAACGATATTATCAATTGCTCTAGATTAGTTGTAATATTCCATATATGCTATGCTTAAAATCTCTTTCCAAATATTTCACCTTATTTTGCACTAGTAAATATAAAAAATATAAAAGACATTCTTGAAAGTTTGTCGACATGTGAAATGAATTTCCTAAATACAAAATTTTTATTAAATTTAAGTGTCAATACAAATTAAGAAAAACCTCAGCAATATGTGTAAATGTTGGTAGATAATTAAACAACTATTGGTCTAGGTACTCTTTTAAAATTGCCAGAAATGCATAATCGGATTGTAGATCGACCGAGTATTTTTCGAAAATGATTTCAACACCAAAAATGTACTAGAGGCCGGAAATGATTATTGAATACTATTTATAAAAAAGTCAATATTGCATTAAAATGGTGTACGTGATTTGCTATTGTATTAAAACCACCATAATACGAGTATGTATGTATGTATGTATATAGTGCAAATTATTCCACAAAATAAAATAGAATTTTGAAAAAGCATAATGTTCCGAATTTGATTTATTTATTTATTTTTTTGTTGGATATCCTTTTCAGCAGAGATTTCATTAAAGGGTAAAAATCTTGAAATGATAATAGTTAGAAATTTATTATGTTTAATGTATATCGTAAAATTATATATACAAATTTTTTTGAATTGTGAGAAAATTCATCAGAAAATCGAAATGAACTTCGACAACTGCTCGAATATGGTTGTGGTTGGCTGCAAAGATTATCCCATATAACAGTACAATTATTTAGACACTCATAACCAAACATTTGGTAATCGTACTTTCGTATATGAATTCCTTAGTTTGAATTTTCTTCTGCTCAAATATAAACGAGACTTTATCCATAACTCGACAAGGACATGACATATGGCCATACTTTTTTTTGGCACCGTGTGACTTTTTTCTTTTCCCTAAACTGAAATTGCCGCTTCGTGGAAAGCATTTTCAGTCAATTGGAGTCATAAAAGACAATTCGAAGAAGGAACTGAAAGCCATACCTAAAGCGGCCTACCAGAAGTGTTATGAAGATTGGAAAAAAAGGTGGCATATGTGTATCGCCTCTAATGGTGACTATTTTGAAGGGGATAAAATAAATATTGAAGAATAATTAACCGTTTTTGTTTTGTTGAGCCAGTCTCGTTTATATTTGAGCAGGTATATGATATTTGTATTAATTTTTTAGAGAAAATTCATCAGAAAATCGGAATGTACTTTGATAAGTGCTCAAATACGGGTGTGGTTGAATGAAAAGAATGTCTCTAATAACAGTTCAATTATTTAGGCAATCATAACCTACCATTTGATGATCGTAGTTTCGTATATGGACTGCTAGTACGTATAGTAAAGTAAAAAATTCAGAATTTTTGCATAAAAAATATGTTGCTTTTATTTACTTTCAACTTAAAATAATAAGTATATTCATTGTATCTATGGTTTAATAAAAAATAATACATATACATATAGTGCGACTCAGTTAAATGAAATATGGAAGATATAATATATGTATATTTTTCTTGTTTTGTTTTTAAGATTTTGTATGTTGGCGCTAAAAGTCAATTTGGTTGTTCAATTACATTTTTTACATAATGTGGAATGTGCATTTTCCATTTCTACAATTGATTTTGAGATCTCTGCAAAGCATATTCCTATCAAAAGTAGATAATTATAGTTCAATATCTCTCATGTAAGCGCAAAGGCCAACATACTCTTTGGAAATTTTACTTATATAAGTGCTAATATGTAGATAATGCATGTTAAATTAATATAATAAATAATATAAAATATATTTTAGGTGATGAGATATTTGTTGATTTTTTTTTTGTTTTTTTTTTGTATATAAATTAGCTTTTGTATGTGAGCATTTTAAGAAATGACCAGTTGCTGCTTTAAGCTGCCAAGGAAACTTTTTGTCTGGCATTTGAAGTCTTCGTTCCGTTTGTTTGATGCCGATGTCGATAATGCAGTTACATTAGTTTATTGAACCTGTTCGGCTCAATAGGCATATGCACCCAACTATTCCGATGGCGTTAAATCCTTTTCTGGTTCGTTTTCATTCAAAATCTGCGAGAGTAAATCATGAACCGGCTCGAATGCTTTTTTCGCGCCGCTGTTCGTCAAATTCTTATAGTCGAACATGTCATGGTGACTAATTGTATTGTCTGTTTGCAGCAGACCCTTATCAATGCAAACAGTTTGCACCTGATTAAGACCAATCACTTTTTCCTTAACAATTCGATTAACCGCATCGTTTTTCTCTCTCAATTTATTTGGTAGCTGGCCGCGAGGCAGTAATGTCTGAAATTACGTATAAAATTAGAAACACGATATCACGTCTACAAAATACAACTAATAAAAATCTCAGTTTACATAAACTTTCTTAAAAATTAACTTACAGGTAATACGATGTATGTGTCTGGCAACTTCGCACGTATTCTATGCACTATTTCCACTATACCTTCTGCTATCTGCTCAGCCGTATTTTCCGTATTATTGGTGCCCACATGCAATACCACAATCTGCATTTAAAAAGAGAGGGGATTCCCAAATCTTAAGTTATAATAAAAATTAATGATTACAGTAACCTTATTCTCATTTCTTCGATAAGATACAACTCATATTTATAAAGACTTACACATATTTTAATATGCCCTTATTTTGCATAATCGTTAAATCATTACCCACCTTCGGTTTAACATTGTCCAGTTCACCGTTTTCCACACGCCAAAGCACATTTTCCGTTCGATCACCACGTATGCTGAAGTTAAGGCAATGCATTGGTGCAAAATATTCATTCCATGTTTCCGAATCCTGCAATGTTTCTAGTACACAATCCCCCAGAAATATCACGTCAGGATCCTTTTCACGACATTCAGAAATAAACCGACGATGAATGCTATTCGAAGAATTTACACCTCAATAAGTATGCAGGGTGTATCAATTAAATGTAAAACTAATTAACATACCAAATCCAGCGTTCGTCGCCATCTACGTCCGGGCGTTGGGTGGGCACAGCACAGGGGTTCATTTTTTTGTTTTTACTAAGGAAAGACACTACCTAAATATACTTAAAATTATACAGAAAAAACTTATACTGTGTTAGTAAATTTTGTTTTTTCTTTAAGATTTTTTCCGGTTTTTAATATTTTAATAAATTTACAAAAAAAAGAAATTCGGCAGACTAGTCTGACGTTTATCTAATGCTTCTTTTCTTACCGCTAATCATTCACAATAGGGTTTCTGTGTACTTTTTTTAAATGCTTTATTTTAGGGGCCCGCTACAGACATCTTAATAGAAAGTAAAAATAAAAAAATGTTAAATGTCTATTTCATAAAATGCTAATTAACCGAGTATCAAACAAAACAAAAAGTTCTCCTTCAAAACGCAACAACAACGACAAACAAAAAACAAAATATTGTTTGTATCTGTGGCAAAACGTTAAGGTGGCTTAAGTTTGACTTGATTTTCAGGTATTATGGTACGTTACGTCTACCCGAAAGTACACTTACAGCGTAGAATCAGGAGATAATAGAAATTAACAAAATTTTTTAATTTAATAAATATATTTGTATTTAAATGAAGGTAGCCAATTCATGTTCCTGAATACATACATTTTCTAAGCTAGTTTATGTAAGTCGTGAAAAAAATTACAGATTTAAAGTGCTTGCAAAATAATTGCTATATTACTTCGTTCACTCGAAATCAAATGCTGCAATATATTTATCGGCAATTCAGTTGCTACTCTGAGAACTGCTATAGCCCAAATAAGCCTGGCTGCCTTGTTCGTTAATTGATTCGTTTTCCATTACTTGTTCACCAAGACTATCGCCAGCGTCTTGATACATCTCATATTCATTCCGTGCTAGCTCACGCAATTCTTCTTCCGTATGCGACTTCTTGTGCACACCTAGATCTTCAATTGAAAAAAAGCCACGACTACAGGTGTTACATATATGGGGTTTATCACTTTGATGACGCTTTTCGTGATCGATTAGATTTTTTCTTGTTATAAAGCGTTGCGAACAAAACGAGCATACATGTTTGCGCAAGTTTTTGTCATGACTTTTCATATGAGATTTTAGGCCTTCCACTTGCGCGTATCGCTTGTGACATAGCTCACAATTGAATGGACGTTCGCCAGTGTGTAGGCGTTCATGGCATACTTGCGAATTACGTGTACCAAAACGTTTGGGACAGAAACTGCATGGAAATCGTCGTTGACCCTCGTGTACGACACGCACATGCCGGGATATGGCATTTTTGTGATTGAATTCTTGCGGACAAATGGTGCACTTGAATTTCTCCAGATTCGGTTTATGTATACGCATATGCGTTAACAACTCCGTACGTGTTACTTTGGCAACGCCACATATTTTACACACATGATCCTTGATTTGGGCATGTCGTTTCAAATGTTCGGAGAGTGCACGTTTTGAACTGTATGCCTTGAAACACTGTTGACAGATATGATTTATCTCAACTTCTTCATTTAGTTGGGCTTGATGAAGTTCTAACATATCCTGTATGCCGTATGAAAACGTAGCTGCATTTAAATATTTATGCAATTAATCTACATATTTAATATTATATACGATCTCAGCATATATTTAATTTACCTGTATGTACGACTTGTCGATGAGTCTCCAAAGTATTGCTCAACTTAAAGACGGCATCGCAACCATTTAAACCACATATAAAACGTTGTTTTATTAAATGCTGTGACTGAATGTGAGTATGTAGATGCTCATAGCGTGTGAAGTCCTTTTGACATTCCAAACAAAGAAACGGCTTCTCATATCCTTCGTGCACTGCCCGTATGTGAGCGTCCAGGTACACCTTTTTATAGACCTGTTTATCACAACGAGGGCACTTTAATGACTTTTTATTGCGATCGCGTTTACGGGAGGATGCACAAAACCGTTGTCTTCCTCCTACAGTTACTGGTGAGTTGTTTAGTGACATACTAGATGTATTGGCAGCACCGTTTCTTAAAGCATGCTCCTCGTCATCTGCATCATCGCCAATAGTGTTATCTGCTGTGTTTAAAGCATTACGTTCATAAAATTGGGAATTATCTTCCTCGTATTCCGAATCAATTTCATGCTTAATAACCACATTCGATGAATTTGCCGAATTATCATTATTTGGTAATATAATTTCCGACTCTGAATTGTAATAGTTTTCCGGTTCTGCTTTGATTGGTAGTTCCATCAGTGGTGCTAGTTCTGGTAAAAGCTAAATTTAAAAAAATAATAAAAATACTTCAATAGAAGTTCTACAAACAAAACCATTTAAAGAATTTCATATTCTTATGTTAAAATAATGATTTCATAAATTTACTTAATATATACATATATATGCTTACCAACTGATCATCATCATCATCATTGAATTGGTAGCTTCTTTCCCTTACCAGAGTCTCCGTTTTTATCTCTTTAGTAATTTCTATTGCTTGAAAGGTTGTGGCCTCATCAGAAGTTTTGGACATTTCATCATCTAAACTATTAACAATTTTGTATAAGACTTCCGCAGAATTGATGGCCAAGTTTCGAAACTCTTGAAAATCAATCATTTTGTCATAGCATAGCTGACAGAGACTTCGTGGGTAAGCATCTTCATCGCTATCCTCGGATATATCCAAGGAAGTAAATAAGACGAATAGTTTTTGTATTTGCGGTAGCAAGCTCAGATTATAACTATGATTTGTTTCAGCATCATTTTCATTATCTCCTTGATTAACTTTAACCTTCAGCTGGTGAAAACTAGTAGGCGTATCCTCTTTCTCACGTTTGCGACGTTTTTGCAAACTGCTTAAGCAAGTTCGACAAAATTCTTGCAAATTATTACGCGAAAGTTGATTCATTATTTCTCTGCTTCACTTACTATATTTTATAATTAATTCCGTAAAATTCACAATTTGCCAATACCAAAACTAATCGATTTTCTATGAATTTTTCTCTAGCGTTTGTTAAGTTGACATTTCCTGAGTAAAACCAGAGAACGTAAATTATACGTTCTCTGGCAAAACAGTGTTGTGACATTTTTGCATCAGCTGCTAATAATCAGTTTTCCTTAACCAGTTTTTTTTTTTATTTGCAGCATATTTTATTTTATTATTTACATATACCGAAATTATTACTTCTGCAAATATTAGTTTTAATGTAGGAACTAATTTTTGAATTATTTTTTATTAAATTGTGTACAAAAATGCGTGCTATAAAACGAAATAAAAATGCAAATATGGTTCTGAGTTGCACAGTTCTGAGCACCAGTCTCGCGTTATACAGTATAACAATTAAAAACAGCTGTGCGTAAACAAAACAAATTTTAAAAAATTGTGTACAAAATTGTGTAAAATTTTTTTTAAAATTTGTTTTGTTTTTATATGTAATATTAAGTTTACGTGTTAGTTAAATAAATATTTTGAATTTATTTACAAATATGGAAAAAATCATAATATTCATAACCATATATTAAAAACTAGCATCTTGCGAGCAGCTTGGCAATTCCAAATTCGTCTCTACTTCTATTGCTGACTCCACTATTGTTGTAAAAGGTTGTTCTGGGACCGAGGGTATTATTGTTTTCCGTGCCAATCCTTTGTTATGGGTTTTCATGTGCGCTCGAAGCGCTACAATCTGTATAAAACGTTTGCCACACAATTCGCAACCATGAGGTTTTTCACCCGTGTGCCTCATTTCATGGTGTTTTAAAGTATCCTGTTTGCCGAAACTGAGATCACAGAACCTACATGTAAACGGTCGGATTCCCTTATGCACAATACGATCATGCATGCCAAGATTTCCAGAACTGTTGAAGACACTTGGGCATTTTGGACAGGGCCATTGTTTCTCTTTTGTGTGATAATTAATGTGAGCGCGTAATTCATTTTGTGTGGTTTTTTTCATGCCACAATAAGTACAAATATAATTTTTTATTCCGGAATGTCGCAACTGATGATCCTTATAAGTTCGTTTAGAACGATATCTTTTACCGCAATCTTCACATTTAAATGGGTAATCTTCCTCAGATGCGTGTTTATAGCGATGCTCTTTGAGTGTAGTTACACTTCTAAATGTTCTTCCGCAATCCTCACAGACATATCTTTTAGGTTCACGACTTTCATATGGTACCAATGTGTGTTTAAGTCGGTAGTGGTTTTTGTAAGTATTTTCGCGCTTGAATATTTTACCGCAACCCTCAAACGAACAGATGTATTGCAGTGTCACAGGTCCGTGATCTTCACGCACATGGGCACGGAAATGAGCTGCTCTGTTAAAGCTGCGATTGCATTCATTGCACACATATGGCTTTAGGCCTTGATGGGTACGCAAGTGGGCTTCATAATTTTCCCATGTTACACAACGTCGAGGACATTGCTCACATTGAAACTTCACTTCAGAATAATTACTTCTACTTTGTTTTGCGGGTGACATTTTCAGGGAACTATTTCCGCCTTTTGCAGATTTCTTCGTTTTTTTATGAGTAAACATTTTTTGTTTTATTATTCTGGGTTTATTGATGTCGCCTGCTGTTGCTGATAAGCTTGGTGAATATTCACCGTTCCCACTACTTGGTTTGCCACAATCATCTTCGTATACATTGTGTTGTACATCTGTAGTTTGTATAGAAATATCTACATATTGCAATCTTTCATCATTTTGTTCAACATTTATTGCTCTAGAAAATTCGAAATCATCCAATGTATCTTCATCATCTGAGGTAATCTTTTGATTTACTTTAATATCACTTATGTCTATTTCTATTTCTTCAGCAACTTCAACCAATATTTCCTCTTTAAGATTTTTATTCATAACACTGTGTGTACCGCCAGGGTCTTGTAGTATTTTTACCACCTGCCAATGGAAAAAAAGCAAATGTATTCAAAATCTTGTCAATATTTTAGATAACACAATTCTTTCAAATACCGTATTTTCTATACAATTTTGTAGTTTTTCACGACTTCTTGTTGAGTATGTATAGCCATGAAGAACTTCGATATCAGATATTCCTACACTATTATCTTGTTGGTCTTCACTACATTGACCACTGTCCAGCAACCTTTCATCTTCGGAAGTTCTACTCGTATCTTTATGCTCTTTTAGAATATTGTTTAAAAAGAGATGTGACTGAATAATTTTATCACGGAAATCACTAAAGGACTGTAATTTTTTATGACATTTATAGCATATGAACTGCGGGAAATCTTCGAAGTCTTCTGTTGTCGTTGAATTGCAAGATAGCAAAAATTTTTCGATATCTTCATTCTCATAAATGCTGTATTTTTCACCCAACAGAGATGACTTGTCTTCCAGTTCATCAAGGCACGTCCGACAGAATGATTGCATATTTTCATGAGTTATTTCACTCATTTTGCCAAACAATTTTTAAAGCAATAATTTCTTCCCAAAAAATAAATATTCCTAATAATAATATATGAAATTAAATAAGAATTTCGCCCTTTTGTTTATAAAATTGCCGAAGAATAAAAAATACAAATTGTTTTGACAGCTAACAAATTTATAGGGTTGCATCAGAGAACGTATATCATAGAGAAGGTTCATGGTGTGCCGATTGTCAAAATGTTCCTCTTGACGGAGGGTTACTCGCCAACTTAAGAGGATCTCACCTCAAACAAATTATAAGCGGATTTCACCAGAATTTTACCCCTGCGGAGCGCAAAATAGCAGAATTGAGCATTTTGAATGTTAATTGAGAAAAATAATGCTAATTTCAATGTTAAGAAATGTACGCTTACAGATTCGTATATTTACAATGCGCAAACGAATTTATATATATTTTTAAGATATTCTGCATATACAGGGCGGCTCACGAATTGTTCTACAAAAATAACCCGTAATAAGTTTCTTTTTAATCAATGCATTACATAAATTTTTTTGTATTGTATAGAAAATTTTATTTTATTTTATACAATTAATTATTCCTCCATGCTTAGCCATGCATATTGGACACCTAATTAGAAAATGAATGCGGGCTGGAGGGTTCAAGTCGGGATTGCCTCAAATATCTATTTAATGTACTGCTTCTGTTCAGTCAGATTTCTGGGTTTGATTTTGTACACCTCTTGCTTGACATAACCCGATAAGAAAAGACGAAGTGGTCCCAAATATGCTTATTAAAATATATATGTATAATTATGTTTGCATGTAAACAAATATGAAAATACCCATTATAATTGTTAATTTGTCTATATGCAACGTATGTATGTAAATATGTACACTCATTGTGATATACGTTCTCTGGTTGTAGTGCCAGATTTTCTTAATTAACGATACATTTTGAAAAAAAAAATAATTTAATGAAAATTAAAAGAATATTAATAAATTAATGTTTATTAAGTAAGTAAATTGTATAAAAGTACACATCATTTAATTGTATACTGCTAAAATTCAAAGTGCTGTAAAAAATATATTAAGTGTTTCCTATGTGGAAAAAGAAATGTTGATAGTTAGCAGATAAGAAACAGGCCTTTAGTCTTATGTATATACAGGTTTTATCGGCAACTTAGTACTTCTACACTTCGCTTCCGCAGACAAGGGCTGTTTCCGGTAACTCTACCAAAGCTAACCGTTAACGAACGTAATCATTAAAAATGCCAGTGAAAAAAAATAAAATGAAACATTTAACCATTTTGAGAAGGAAAGCAACATAGCTACTAGCTTTAGTAAAAGAACGCTGCGCTTTATGCCTAGTCGACACCATGGATGCCGTTCTTAGAGATCTCAATTCAGATATTCGCCCGCTTGGTAAAAAACCATTTAAGAACCAAAAGCGTAAAACACCGGAATATCTATAATATATACACTACATCGAGCAAGCTATGAACAACTGTCGTGTCGCTATCCAAAAGGACGAAGAATAGCACCTTTAATTTTCGGATTATGTTTAGGATTTCGAGGTCAAAACTGAAAACTAAACATTGGTTCCGTATGTTACAACAACAGCAAACAAATATATGTACACATAACGTGACATTAGCGAAAGAGGAGATCTTTTCAAAATCACGGTTAGTAGTACAGTAACATCACCACGCTTTTATTTCGAACCCATACAAGGAATTAAATGAAAACACATTTCATATCGGTTTTTAAATGTATATATTTATATATATTTACTATTAATTTGTAATATAATAGGGTATTCATAAAAACACGTAAATGGATTGAATAAGTGTAGCCTTCTCATTATTTACAAGTACAATTACCCATAAAAAAATTATTTTTGTTTTAAAATAACGACACAAATTGAGTCAAATGCTCTACTTAGAATTTATCCGATTTTTTTTCAACTGCATTTGTTTCATATTTTACAAGCTTGTGATAAAAATGGCAAATATTCTAACGCGTTGCAGGCTATATACGTATTTCTATGAGTACCGCTAATATATATATGTAGTTCATTATCCACTATAACTCAATTCTCTTAAGCATTAGAATCGATTTAATTTAGTAACTTTAAACTTATATAACTACAAATGTGCTAATATATGTAATCGCTTTATTGTTATACGTTTACTTGGATTAAATAAAAAATATATATCCAGTTATTTTTTTTACATGTACATTTAGACTTAATTTTAGTTCATTATTCCTCATTGAATTGTGATGCTTATGTATAATTTTTCATTATATTATAGACAGTAAAACAATATAGATTCACATGTTCTTGTTTACATATACAATTACATACTAGCATATATATTTATATTTTTTTTATTGTATGATATAAATTTGTATGAATTCATTGTGCAGAACCATATTTAATATTAATAATTATTTTACAAATTCCTTAAACTCTGATAGCTAAATAATAATAAATCAATTAAATGTAACGCTTAAGTGTAGATATATATTATTTATGTATATATTGATACATATTCTTTATATACCTTTGCCTATGTGCCAAAAATAATCAAATAAAATATAAGTTATATAATCAGTTCTCTTCTAAATTTCCAATTTAAAAGTATGGTAAAAAATATATTAAATTTATATTAATATTTTATTAAAAATTTCATACTTAATTTTGAAAAACTTTACAACGTGAGTGAGTAAGTATGAAACTTTGTTATTTTTATTATTATTATATAAATACACAATTTACATATTTTATGTACAAAAATTATTAGATAACTAAAAAAAATACGATAATATAAAGTAAGCACGATTTTGTGGCAAAGCACCAATGTCATTTAGCTAGGAAATACAAGTACACTTATCAAAATTTCAATAACAGAAGCATAAATATATTTATATACTTGTAGTATTATTTAAGTGAAGTATGTAAATCATTTTTTAACATTTGTAATCAGAAAAATTTTCAATAAAATATATTTGTAAAAATTAGAATTTTTTTTACAAAATTTATATATTAAGAATAAAAGATATTATATGTATATATAAAATTTTATCAATCAGGAAATAATATAAAAATATTTATACTTATAATGAATTTTCTCATTCAAACTATTTTTAACTTTAAATTTACATACAATTTAAATTTCAGAAAATTTTGACAAACAAACATACATGTGAATGTAAAAATACATGTACGATTTTTTATGTATTTTTCATAGATCACCCAATACAAAATAACGTTTATAACTAAAAAAATGCAGAAAACTTGTGAATTCGACATTTTAGAATTTCGAAACAAAAACTCAAAATATACTCTTTTTTTTACATAGTTAAGTTCGTGTTTAAAATAAACCTGACGATAACAGATATGATTTTTTCTGCGAAATTAAAAAAAAAATTTAACTCAATATATACTTTTTTTTATACATTTTTTTAAAACGAAACTAAAATTTACAATTCTTTATTTTAATTCAAGAAAAATTTCAAAAATTCGATCTTTAGAAATAAAAGTATGGTGTATTTAAAATGAATTTGTTTTAAGTAAAATTATGTATTCTGGCAAAATTTATAGAAAAATTTTGGATATTTTGAAATCCAGTTTAAATCTTTTTTAAAAATTTTATAGATATTTTTTAGTTATGTAATAAATAACAATATGTAAATATTTATGTATGCTTTTAATATTTATAAGTCATAAAAGAACGGAAAATATTTTAAATTAAAAACCGTTGAAAACGCTTTTGAAAATTAAAACGGAAATTCTATATTCTTTTTTATTCTAAATTTAGGAGCAAATATAGAGAAATAAAAACAGTAAAAAAAGCGTTTTAAATTAAATTATGTCTTCTGGAATAAAAATTTATTAAAAAAGTAAATAAATAAACAAAAAATTATTTTTAAATCCAATTAAAATTTTTTTGGATATTTTATATACATTTTTTTATTACGTGAAATAATATAAAAAAAATATGTAAACAAAAATTATAAAAAAAAAGATTTACATAACTTGTAATTACGAAATACATATATCGTGTAAAATCGAAAAATATTTAAAATTAAGTTTTAGAAAATCAAACAAAAAATTTTTAATATTTTTTTTTATTTACGTTCATATAAAAAATAAAAAACCCAAAATAATAAAACCAGAAAATCATAGAAATTTGGTACAATTTAAATTAAAAATAAAAAACTAAATAAAAAACATAAAAAAGAAAATTGAAAAATATATACATATGTATATAGGAAAATAAAAATCATCAGGTTTTTAGGTAAAAAACACCGCGGAAAAATTTTGTCCAAATGGATTTTTAATGTTGAGGAAACGCGTCATAGTAAAAAAAGATATTATATTGCTTTAAACTGAGATCAATATTTTCAAAGTAAATTGGTTATATGGGCAAATATTATATATGTCTTTGTAACTTTCAGTATTATTTTGTATGTTAAAAACCATAATTATTGTTTGAAAATGTGAATGGTTGATATTTGCAGAACATGCATCTAATCTAAAGCGCCGAAAAAAATTTTAAAGAAACTTAAAATAAAAAATCCACCGATTAAATTACGCATAAAATGATTGCTCAAAAATAATTAAGAACTGATAATAAAAAGTTGAAATTAAAAAAAAAAAATGCTGTTACTAAAAATATGATGCAAATCCTTTAAATCATAGTCTATATAAATATTTTTTAATTCATTAGCTAAAAATAAGTACATTTGTATTTACTTTGAATTGTGCTTCACTCACTAATTACCTTTCCTCTTCAGTATATCAATATGTCTATAAACATATGTATATGCATACATATATTATTCTTTGGACTCGGAAATTTGATAAGCTGCGTTCCTATTCGTGTTCTATGATCTCAAAGTCACTTTCGGAGGAGCGGTCATCCTCCTTTGGAACTGTGGCTACTGCCGCTACTAAAGCTTTGCTTTTGCTACTGTTATTGGTAGCTGCACTCATGCTACCCAATTGCAATAGGCCGGTGACAAGTGTAGGTAGTAGCTTGCTGCCACTTTCGAGCAGTGCTTGAGCGGAGGAAGTAGCGACCAATGCGGCAACAACGCTATCATTCGCGGTGGTGTTAACTGGCTTTGCCGAATCGGTAAAATTTAAACCTTTCGACAAATTCTCCTCCGATGACGAGGAGGAGTCAGACTTAAAGTGACACTTCTCAAAGCGTATATTACTGGCGATTGTTCGCGGATCTGCATTAAGTTCATCAACATTGATAACCGGCATCAGATCATCGTCATCATCCGTGGAGTTTTCATTCAACTCCGGTATGGAGTCGGGTATTAAAAGCTCTGATGGTATATCATCACTTCCATTACTACCGTCATCATCATCATTATCATCGATGTCCTCGGTCTGTAAGGAGTATGAGGCTTGGTCGCTTGCACGTGCCAATAGCACAAGATTATTTGAGCTTGTCTCTGGCAAAAATTCATCATCTGACTCCGTTTCGGTTTCGGTCTCGGTGCCGGTCCCAGTTTCGGTACCACTCTCAGTATGTGTGTAGTCTTGATAATAGTGTCGGTCACGACGTCCTATTATAAATAACATAGAAATACATATATACATTAGAATGTTTATTAATAATTTTAATGGCACATTTGCTTGTCTAATAATACTTACGCTCACTTTGAAATTGTTCATATTCAATGCGGTTGGCAGCTATAACCGCAATCGCCACTAGAACCAAGCCTAAGGGGAATCCCGTCAATATCGGTGCACTGACCGCAAGGAATCCCCCGGCAGAAAACACAGCTGAGTCGAACATCTTCCTATTTTCTTTGCGAAATTGATAAATTTTTTGCAATTCAGGTGGTGGTACAATTCGGAAGTTGCAGCGTGTCTTATAAATCCAGTAGAAAAATAGTGATAGGAAGAAAATGCCTAATGGACGTAGGTGTAGCCTAAATAGTTAAAATAATAAGTCAATATTAGTAATATCATAATATGTGTATTAAATATTATATTCATACATTCAACAAATTTATATAACTTATAAAAGAACAATATAGTTGTATATGCAGTAATATATAAATATATGTGCCATCCGATCAAATTTGAACTGGACTAGTAAAAAAAATATTTTATTCCTGGACTTATACAACATTTTTTTATGTTCGTGTGAAGTTCAATCTCTATCTGTCATTTAGTGTGTGTTTGGCAGCTGTTTGTTTACAATAGGAACAGTTTGTCTGGCAATTTTTACCATGGAAAAAAATTCAACAACGAGTTTGCTTGAAATTTTGTGTTTCCAATGGAATCCCGGCTACGGAATAGTTGAAAATTTTGCAGAAGTGTCTTGTGGAACTTACTATATCACGAATACAAGTATTTGAGTGGCACAAAGCATTCCGTGAAGGTCACGAAGTCATCAAAAACTTGCTTCAGCCGAGTCGTTCATTCACCTCTGTTAATAACGATAACATCGAAAAGGTTAATGAAAGACTACTTCAAAAACGTCGTGTTAGTGTCAGAGAGATAGCAGAGAATCTCAACATTTTTTATAGATCAACAAAACACATTTTGGTAAATGTTTTGTGTATGAAGCGTGACTATACTCGTATCAAAAGAACTGAATCTTTTGCAAAAATGACATCGAGTAGAGGTCGCAAAAGATGCTTGACAACGTAGCCGATTACCTTACAGTCATCGAACACATCATTACTGGTGACGAGACATGGGTTTAGGAATATGATATAGAAACTGTGAAACGATCTAGCAAATGACGCTCCAAAACTGAGCTGAAACCGAAAAAACTCAAAATTCGCTGAAGACGCTGAGGGCTATCCCAGCCGAGGTTTATAACAAGGGTATGGAAAATGGATTAAGTGTTAGCATACTTTTATTGGCTCAGGCGATTATTTTGAAGGCAATAATAAAGCGTTGCAGTAAAGTACATGAAAAATTTTTTTTTTGTCAGTCCAGGTCAAATTTTATCAGATGATATATGTGTGTGTGTACGATGAATAAATTAAAATTAAGAATTGGGTACAACAATGAATATAGAAACTCGTTGCAAAAAAAAAAATATAATATTATTATTTATATATAATATTACTATTTTTTTTTTTTTGGAAAAAAAATTTAGTTTTTGCAAATTAATTAAAAATAAATTAATTTTTTTTTGTAATTGCATTATTTGAGCACTTTGGGCACTATTATAGACGTAATTTGAACTTTCGCACTTTAATTAAAATGCATGCAAAATACATATGGATGTATGTACATATGTACATAGCTAAACGACTAAGAGGTGTTTGACCTTGATACAATACTCGTATGCATACATACGTACATATTATATATACAATATATCTAAGCAGGTGCAAAAATAGCTTTAGTAAATGCAATGCTTCAATTCCATCAGCATCAGACTGCTTACAATTTTCTAGAATTACCATGTAATTTATATACTTCATTAGAATACACGTATGTACATTCATATATACATACATATCTATACATATGTATGTGCAATTAATGCAAATATAAATAGGCTTGTGCTTGCAAACAATACGGAACCAAAATCAATGATCTAACTTTGCAAGAAAACAAACAAGCAGCGATTGCAGTGTCAATAACAAAAACAACACAAGCGAAAACAACAGATAGCTGACAACAACAAAATCCACTCTAGCGAATTGTCAGCTGATTTTTGCGACATACGAGCGAATATAAGCAATGTGTGAACATTTAGTAAGCTGCTTTCATACACTGAGCCATAGGTACAAAGATACATACGTACATATGTGTGTGTGCATTTGTAGACAGCTGTCTAGGCTGTTGTGTGCAGGTGGAAAATGCCACACCATTGCTCATAATGAGAGGAATGCCGCGTGAAATCATCAACCGATAAGACAAAGTTTATAGCAGATGCCCACACATACAAAAACGCATACATACATATATACCTGCACATACATGTTATATATTACTATATACGCACATACATACATACTATATACATCAAGTGTGCTTACACAAGGCGATATCACAACCGTTTTGTTTACAAACACAAAATGCGTTCTATTTATTATTGTTGTGTATAAACTTTCATTTAGTTTAAGGCAATTTAACTTAAATTCGTTCATTTATATTATGCGTATATTTATATATGTATGTAGATATACACATTCTTTATATATGTATATGGCACATGCATATCAATTAACCTTTGCAAAAAATAGCTTTGTAGAAGGCTTTTTGCTCAATAAAAGCCAACAATTAATGGGCGTTGGACAACAAAGCGGACGATATACAAACACAACTACACACATACATATGTATGTACCATACATACGTACATATGTATGTCTGACCATGATGTCAATATTTCAATACATACTACATAGTAAATATTTGAATATCTTCTGCAAGAAAATTTAAATTTATTTTATAAAAGTACTCGGTGGATAGAACTTTTAGATTCACGAATTAATTTTTTTTAAGCAGATTGCTACCAATTAAAAAAAAGAAAAAAGTTAACTTCGGTTGCAGCGAAACTATAATACCTCTCAAAAATAAAAAAGTTTTCATTACAAGAACTTGATTTTGCGCTGTCAGTTTGTATGACAGCTATAGGCTATTGTAGTCCAATAACGGCGGTTCCGACAAATAAACAACTTCTTGGTGAAGAAAGGACCTGTGCGAAATTCGCGATCCATATCTCAAAAAATAAGAGACTACCTGCCCTACAAGAAACTGCTGATGGGTTCACCAATACACTCACATTTTTTATGCGCCGTACAGTTAGTTATCAACTGATCGGTACTGTTTTTGCTAAAAAGAGACAGATACGACTTATAATGCTTACTATGGCTTTACATAAGTAAGCATGAAATTTCTGCCAGCACTAAAGATGTCACCACTGACAATGAAATGAACAGTAAAATGACAGTCAATGTTTACGGTTTTGCCAAAGTAGCGAGTAAGTTATTATTAAGTTTCAAATAAAATTATATTTTTAGTTAATTTTTATTATTATTTAGAAATTTTTAAATTCCGAAATATCCATGAACTGAAAAAAACACGCACAGTAGCGCTTTTGAGCGGAGCAAACATGCAAGTTGCACTCCATTTTTATATTTATTTATATATATATTATAACTAATTTACAGTAAAAGTTTTAAATTAATTAAAGAAATAAAAATTGTATTATATACTGCGCAAAAGAATTTTTTACTTGTGATAGTTTTTCAGTCATAACTGACAACTTTCAGCTTTGATGGATTTATTTATAATTAGCAATGACTCAAGAAAAGGCATGAGAGTGAGCAGCATAAATATATAGTGAATCAATTCCGAATATTCATGAGTTAAAGAGAAATGTAAAATCACACACATGCGTTTGTTTACATCAGTTTTTGCTCTTAAGAACATGAAACATGAAACTTTGTTCTGCGCGCTGACAAAATTTGTTCAGCTGTGACTGTCGTATTACCGGTCAGATGACTGTCACTGTTCTTTGAGTTTCTTTTAATGTATTTGAAACGGTATTTTTTTAAAATAAACCATTTCAAGAGTTATGTATAGGTATGCAAAATATTTAAACTAAAAGGAGTGATTAAAAACAAACAAAAAAACAAAACAAAAATAAAACAAATAATATCAAATTTAATATTATTGTTTAAATTAATCAGCAAATATTTTTTTTTATATTACACTCTTCAATTTACTTAGTGATTTATATAAAAAATTACATCCATTAAAAATAAAGAGAGAATTATGAATTATAAACAGGTATATTTTAAAAAGACTTCAAAAATTAATATAAAATTTTTTAAAGCTTAATTTTTCAATAATTTTTAACGCATTATTTAAAATTATTGCCATAGTAAGCAATTAGTATTAATAATAAAATGGTTAGTAAAAAGGCTAGTTCACACCATACATAAATTTTGTATATCTTGCACATGCAATAAGGTCTCACAGTCGCTCGCAATAATTTGTTAAATTTATTCAAAAATCATTAGACTCCAATATTATACGCATTTGTTTTGAATCACAATTAGAAATAGCAAACAGCTGTTTTCAAAAAGTTGAATGAACAGTTACATTTACTCTGTTGGAGGTCAGCTGACCGCACAGCTGTTATAAATGCACCAAGTGTTCAGTTGAGTTAATAGTTCAATTTACAATTTTAGTTTCATTTGTATGATTTTAGCTTTTTTTTTTAAACACGCTTGCAAGCCATTTACAATGCATATTCGATTCTCATTTACACGCTAGCCACTAGCCTCGATGACGGCACATGCGCATTTACACTGGCCACCGGATGCGCAGCGCGATAAAAAGAGCAAAAGCAAACAACAGTGAAACAATAAGTGTTGTCGCAATTACGCTACAGTATAACGTACTATATACGAGTTACATGTACGATATACATACTAAGTAATTATTCACAAGTTTTATGTTATTTTGTACACAAACTACAACGGCGGGTATTCACGTTGAGCAAAAGTGCTAAAAATTACGACTGCCAGCGCAAGACTAACTGACAAGAATCAAACAAAACTCAACTTAGTTCAATAATAAACTTATTGTAAACAAGTTAGTCTTGTTTTTGTTTGAGCTTTTAATTTTGCTTAAGATAAAAAGTGGTAAAAACAAACCCGTGGTAAAATATTAAACAATATACCATAATCTACATACGTGCATAATATTATATATACATACATAAATATGGTATAGTTCTAATCTAAGTCGGTTTTATATTTGCACAAGCAGGAAGCTGGGAAGAACAAGTTATATAATTTAAAAACAAAACCAGCTGTTTGCACCGACACTCATTTGCGCTCAGAGCGAGAGACGAAGATGATCGCTCGACGGTCACTGATCAGTGTTGGTTAGCCTGGGTTAATTTTTCTAGTATAATATTTATTCATTCAAGGCTTATTATGCGCTCTTATAAGATATTCTTTCCAAAACCTAGAGTACCAGAGCACAATTTTTTATGGCTTAACAACGCTTACATGGCTGTTTTGACTTAGAAATTACTAGTGATAGCTCCCAAATTATCTGTAAATATAAACATACATATGTGTTTGACATTTAGGTTTAGTCTTCGTAAGCAAAGTGCGTTGCAAAAAATTGCTTCGGAATCATCTTTTCGAATAATGTTAAGAAATAGAGAGCACTTCTCAACGATTAACCAGCTCCAACAGAGCATTTGCCAAACGAATTATTGGTGAGAAAAGACCAAAAATTTTATAAAAAAGAAAAATGGTTAACTTTTGTTGCATTTAAGCTGGAATACGCTGCATAAATAAAAAAGTTTCCATACAAAATGTCAGATAATTATCTAAAAAATTGAGGAAATAGATTGCTTATATACAGCCAGACGGACAAGAGTCGACTAAGCTCGTCAGGCTAATCATTTATATACAATATATTGTATAGGGTCTCCGAAGTTTCCTTTTGGCTGTTACAAACTTCGTGGCGAACTTAAGAGGTTACACGGGTTTCGTCGAGCAAAAAATGCCCTGTATTCAATATATTTTTTTTTCGTATAAAGAAGGAAATATTCTATTCAAAATTTTTATTATTCCGAAGATACATATTTGATAAAGATTTTGTGAAATTTTCAAAGGAAAATATTCGAAACTCAAACATTACGACGTCATTTCCGGCAGTCCCTAAGAAAAAAGGTGCTTCCGCGTTGACAGCAGGACTTCTGACAGGATCATCAAAAGTAAAAAGAAAAATATACGTGTTTGAACTAAGACCATTAACTAGGTATTGGATCGAGAAAAAACGAATAAAGTGAAAATTGTATTTTTGGCAGACGTTTTTTCAAAAACATGCAAATTTTAGTGAAAATTTCTCCACGTATTTTGTTTTTTAAATAGTTGTAATTGAACAAAAAAAAATATGCCTCCACGGCAAAACCTTGTAAATTATAGCTCAAAGTGAAAAAAATCATTAAGATCGGTTGAGTAGTTCGTGGGAAATCTTAACAACCGACTTTGAAAACACAGTTTCGAGAAAAACACGTTAAAAGTTTTAAGTGAGTATGTAGCTGACCTCGAGCGCGCAACTTCTCAAAGCTGTAGCTCCAAAACTATTACTGGAATCAACTTGAGAATTTAGGACAATATTTTAAAGATGTTATAGAATTGAATTGTTTAAAGCCGTGAAACCTAAGTAACCCCCTAATATACCAGGATTCAGGTTGTAAAAGCTGGAAAGAACGTAAGTATATTACTCGAGAAAAGCACCCTATATACATATACGCATATACATAAATATATATTTGGAGTACTCTGTACGCACAAGAAAAAAAAACAAAATAAACTCACAAATGTTTACTAAAATAGCAAAACACCGTTAAACCAAAAATATGCTATTAACAAAGTCCAAATGGCGAGTTGAAGGTCGCAAAGAATGATGAACTCGACATTTGTTACTATTAACACTGACTAACTGGAATTTTATTGAAATTAGCAAAAATTGAAATAAAAGGCAAGCATTAGTAGTGCAAAAAGACATAACGTTAAAAGCAAAGAAAAGAAATGAATGAATTTTATTTGCATACAAAGGAAGTATACATATGTATGTATAAACATATGTACAATACTCTATGAAAAAAATAGCGTATTTTCGACGTATACTTAAAAATGTATTTAAAACAGAAATGGCAAGTGGTTTTCTGCCTATAGTTCACGAACGAACTCGCAAGTTGCTTTGGAATACGCATTGGATTTAGTAAAGGGGCGAACACACTAACGCTGCTTATTAACGTAATTTATGCGCTAATTAAGTAATTTTAACAGATAATTGATTAACTGACATTTAAGTTATGTCTGCAACACAAGGGCAAAGCAAGAGCAAAGCGAAAATAAAGACAAACTGCATTAACTGTAATGTAATGTAATAATATGTCAATTGAAGCGCAAAACGGCATAAAACGTGTAGTCTATATAACCTTTAAATAAAACCATATTGCCAGTTATATTACGAATTATATTTGAGTATAATTGACTAAATATTATAAAAATGAATACTAACAGTGCACTTTTTCTTAGTGCAAAAGCAAAAACTGCTAAGGGCACTATTTAAGTACTTTAGAACTCTGAAAACCCTACTTACGAGTATAACAGCTTAAGGTTCGTTACTGAGCAGTTTAAACGCCTACTATATACACATACTACATTTAGCAAAATAAAAAGCATGCGGAATGGAACGACATTTATTTAGTCTTTTTCGTGTTTCATCAATGTGGAATTGAATAGAGTCACGTTTTTTTTAATTGTGAAGAATGTGCGCATTGCTCAGTAAGCCTCGCAGGTTAGCGATTCATTTGTGAGAGTTTATAGTAATTAATATAAGCGATAAGTATATAGATAGGTATTATTATATAGCAGTATATATGTATGTGCAATAAATGGCCTTTTGTGAGAATACTTGCTTTTGTGGGAAATAATATAATATAATGGCCTCTAACTTTATGTGGAAACACATGGAAATGTACATACAAGTATGTATGTATGTATAGAAAATAGAAAGTGGAAACGTTTTTAACACGACTAGTGTTGTAAATAATTAGTATGGAAATATTTTCTAGTTTTATAGCTGACAAAAACGTAGAAAATCTCCTTTTGGGTATTTAAGGGTGGTCATCCCATGTGATGGGCTCAAAAAATCGATTACGATCATAAATTGCTTTCTTAACATGTCTAGAATACGGTAGTAAAAAGATTTTTAAAAATTCGAAGTCGTTTTAAAGATACAGCAGTTAGAAGAAGGATTTGTTGGAGCGCTGAGTTGCGGACTTGAAACTTTAAACGCGTTGTTCTCCAAACTGTGTTTTTCAAATATTCTTCATCGTATCTCAAAAACGGCTTGACCGAATGACTTGAAATTTGTAGGGTACATGTATACGCATAAACTATTATCAATCAAAAATTTCCAAAATTTCTATTTTTTATAGCAAAAAACAAAAAAAAAACGGCAAATTCGCAACTTTTGCAAATGTCTACCAAAAGTGTAATTTTTGGTATATTCATTTCATAATAGTCCATTGCGTGCATTTAGGCTTACAGATTAAAACACCGCTATTTTTTGTTTGTTTCAGAAAAGCCTAGCAGCCGGAATCGTGAAGGAACTGCGAGCCCATTTTTTCGAGGCGGGGGTGTTCAACACGCTATAACTCATGATCTACACAATATTTTTAGCTTAAAATTTATATTTACCGACCAACTGTTGAAAGATATATTAATAAATGATAATAAACTTAAAGCTCTATCTATTTACTGGTCGTAGAAAAAGGTCCCGAAAAAACAGGCCAACACATGGGATGACCCCCTTAATGCGAAATGGGCAGCATTGAACACATGAACTTAGCAAATGAACTTTAACAGCCAAAAATTGAAGCGTTGTTGAGACATAACTGTTCAAATTAATTTCAATATAATTATTATTTTTTCAATATTTCAGTGTTTAGTTATTAAGACAAGTATATAGTATTAAACAGCTAAAATTATTGTGTAGGCGTGAGCATTCTCGATTTTTTATGGCACCGACTCGTCACTTCTGCCAGTAAAATGTATATGTATATATATACAAGAATATGTATACAATAATATTATTTGTAAATTGTATGACCTTCATACATACTCGTATATATAATTTTATTTATTCAATTTAGATATAGTATACAAATATAATATTATATAATATCTAAAATTAAGGGAGCACTGGCTGCCAGGGCCTATGACTCAAAGATATATTTTATTATGTTATTTTAGACAAAACTTTGATAAATTATTATTTATTTTCTTGTTAGCTGTATAAAGATAGATAACTACCATATATGTGTGTGTGTGTTAGTTAAATAAAGAGATTTTTAGCAAGTGCAAATTTTTATAATAAATGTCTAAATAAAATAAATGATTTGATTTAGCTCATGGATACACCTTTATTTGAATTTTTTTTTATGAATCTGACCCACATAATTTCTATTAAAAACTGGTAAATCAAGCTATTTTATTTTATTTTTTTGCTCATAAAAATAAGTAGCCTACGCAATTTGCAATAAGAGGCGCGATTCCGTTGTTATCAGCAATAAGTAAAAGTAAATACTTAGTTGCAGTTATGTCTCTATGTATGTAGGTATGTTTAGACATTATTAAGGTACGTATGTATGTGTATGCATATGTAAATATGCATGAGGTGTTCCGCTTCAATTTCAATATGCGATAAGAGCAAGAAGTGCTTATCAAGCATATTTGTATTTGCACAAAAAATACAGTGCTGTGCAACGAATTGGAAATGTAAACAAACTGGCTGAAAGAATAATTGCGTTTGGTGAGGATATATTTTACAATATGTAATAAAAAAAATTCTAGTCAGATCATGAGATGTACATATGTATGTATATGCCTTAATTCCAAAAGCTACACTAGCCATTGGAAAAAAAAAAAAAAGTTATTTAAAATGAACGAAAAATTGAATGACTGCTATCTTAGCTTAAAATACATTTAAACACACATTAGTTTACAATTACATGTGCGATTCAACAAAACTTGAAAAGTGGCTAAGCTTAGCTGACCATTCGTTCCTGTTTGACCGGGACAGTCCGGACTCCGAGTTAAGCGTCCCGGCCGTCCCTAGTTTAGAAATTAAAAAAAAATTAATGCATTAAATAAAATTGTTTTGCTCTCTCACCTATTAAATGTCGCGATTTTCAGTGAATTATAATATGGAAAAGACCGATGACTAAAACGCGCCGTCCCGGGTTTTGTCGGTACAAATATGGGCACCTAAGACTAAACGAACCAGCAATTGGTATACATATAATAAATCTGCATACTCAAAGCTATAAAAATTTATAAGTGATATTTAATATAAACAACTTATATGGAATTCAACTCGAAAATTAGTGGTAAAGTGGTTAATAGACAGAGAGAGAGAGAGAGAATAGCTCGAAGAAAAAAATGAATCATCTTTACCGCAACGCTGTCAATATACTTAACATCACTGTAAGTGCCTGAGTCAAAATGTGATATAATATGTACATATGTATGCTTATTATGTATTGATAGACATTTGACGGGAATATTTATTTTCTTTTCTAGCAGGGAATGTAAATAGAGAGATAAAAAATACATAACATAGTATTTGTTGCGATTTTAATCAGAAATATAAAAGCATGCAAAGTTGACTGCATTAAGTGGCTCTTACAATGTTTAAGGAAAATTTAAAAATTACAATTTTATACTTTTTTTTGTATTCGTTCCGTTTTCTTATAAACGAATCGTTTAATTTTGGCGAGTTTAGGAAGTATTAAGAAAAATTCCAAAAAGGCCAAAAACAAAAATTTGTTAAAAGTAATTGGATCATAATGTCAAAATCAGCCGTTTTGCTTTGTTGTGTTTTGATTTTATGATTCAAAAATAAATTGAATGAAAATGTGTTTTTTGAGTAATACATGAATACAAAATCATCAAATTTTAAACAGAAAATGCATAAGAAATACAAAAAAGGTGTTTTTTTTTGACATTATGGATACAAACACTTCTTTCGCAAAAGGAAGCACGCTGCGCATCGACACATCCTTATATAATGGTATCATAATACCTTCTGGGAAATTTTATTTGATTTGAGCATATTTAAAAGTTCTGCCATAATATAAGTATAAATCAGTTGGAACGGCAGCAAGCGGTGGTGAAAACCCTTCAGAGAATTCCTGTGCTATATAATCTCTTAACAGCAATTCTTTAAATCCGACAAGAAACAAAACAAGTATATTACAATTTTCATCACAGGTTGTAAAATCGAAACGCTGCCATTGTTTACCGTTTGTTTATCTTTAAACGATACGTCATGGCATAAACACAGTTGACAACGCATTATTGAATATTTACTTCTTATATTCATTTTACAAATGAAGTAAATAGTTTGAATACAATGCATGCGCATACATACATACATAGCTATGTGTGTATTTGGAATTTTCATTGAAGATAGTGTCGGTTAAACGAACTCAATTTGGCGAGTACACAAATTCGTTAGGAATTTTTTAAAAATATCCAGATGACGTGTGCTCTCTATGTTTACGTAATATTAAGGTAAATACAATTTCTATGTTACATATGTAACTTACCTAACTAAATATACTATAGAAGTATATGTATGTATATGAGAAGGGCATGTATGTAAATGCAATCATTTATGTAATTCTAACCTCAACAAATTTACTTTCGTAGCTGAATTTCTTGGCAACGTGCGAAATCATTGCAATTGAGCAGGAGCCAATAACAGCTGTTGTGCTAGTAATTAGGTGAATCGTCGCTCTACACCTCATTGCATCTTAGAAAGGTGATGAGTGTGTGTTTACTCATATATACACACACATACACATGCATGCATGTAGTCATAGACAAGTCAAGTGATAAATATGTTTGTTGTGTGGGGATGAGCGATAAAACACTGTGCTTGCATAATTACCTGTAAATTGACTGTTTGCGGCAATTAAATTTCGGTGCTCAACTCAAATACACATACACATGCACATGAAGACACATTTATACAGTGTATGTGTATATCTAAATATAAGGCAGATACATTGTAAACATTTTAACCATATTTTCCTGATTGGTTGTGTAATAAGTAGCAACGGTAAACGATTTCTATAGGTGTGAGAATTATATGGTACATATTAAATATGTGAGAGTACACAAACATTTCACAAATAAGCTGTGACTTTCATTACAATGCCGTTTCCAGCGTACGAGTATGTAGAAGGTGAAGTATATATGTATGTAGGAAAAAATATAAATTTATTATTTGCATATATACACACATATATTTTCAAACACATACCATAACATAAACTGGTGGTTCGAAAGAATATTGAATAGTCGATTTATTCCAAATGTTCCGGAAAAAAATCGATGTATGTACATACATATATACTTCACATCAGCTGTAACTGTATCAACCCTCTTCCCCTAAAATATACCACCCTTATTTCTCAACCGCCACAGTATTTTATCACGTTTTCAATAAGCTGCACAAAACTGTATATACGCAATTAAAATACGTTTTATACGGTCAATTTAGAAAATACAATATTTAATTCATTGCTTATAAATTAAAAATCTATTTTGTGGAACAGTACCTAGACGCTAGTAGCTAAAGTTGCTTAGTAAATTTTATATACATATGCATATATACTATATTTACATATGACGGTATAATACTGTAGTGTGTAGTCAACATTAGGTGAAATAATATAATCTAATAGTATTTACATAGACTGAAATACCCAATTATAGTAATATATATATACATAGTACATATGTATGAAATTTTAAAGTATTTCTTGGTACTGTAGTATGGCCTTGAATTTTATCAAAATTATAATAATATTAATAATAATTAATGACAATTTTTATAAAAGTGTAAAGTATTGTCTACAAGTTAAAACAAAGCACTTAACTTTCATAGTCTGTAAAAATGTCATTTGTTTTAGTTTGTCGTAGTGTAGTGGTACGGCGTGGAGCATTACTACTATGTAGAACTTGGCAACGATACATTCCCACGACAGTCGATTTTACGTAACCGAGTGCATTATTAACATAAGTATACAAGCCAAGTACTGTTAATTCGGTGAAATTTTTCAAAAAAAAAAAAAGAAAAAACATTAACTTCGGGGTTCGCCGGTTGCACCGAAACCATAATATACTTGGCAGGCGCATTTCTTATAGTATAAAAAGTTAAAACAATCTTTATTTTGATCGGTCAGTTTGTGTAGCAGCTATATGCTATAGTGGTCCGATCTGAATAATATGTTTGGAGATTGTAGCATTGCGTTGGATATAATCTAATTTCGATAAGATATCTCGTCAAAATAAAAATAGGCTATGGGATATGCAATATCAGAGCTTCGACAAATGACCAGCGTCTTGGGAACAAAAAAGTACGTGTGCGTAATTTCAGATCGATATCTCAAAAACTGAGACTTAGCTCGTGTATGTACAGACACACAGACGGATGTGGTTAAACTCATCATGCTGTTGTATACTCATATATACTTTAGAGCTTCTCCAACATTTCCTTCTTGGTGTTATAATATTTTGGAATCATATATACCGATAAATCGAGAACCTGTATAAGATCCATATTCCGAGTAAGATCGAAATCGTACGGTCATGCGACGTTGGCAAAAGAAAACAAGGACAGCCACAGTATGGTTATATGTATGTATGTAATGACTGATATATGTATATCATAATCGTGTGGTCTTACTCTAGAACATTGACCTCAAGCTAACCTAACTTATTGTCCCTAAATTCTTGGATCACATTTTCGAAAATTGCTCTTAATGTTTTATATAATTCACATCTTCATTCAAACAAAGTCGTTATTCTTTTTTTGGCTGAAAATTCTTACTATAGTCATAACAAATGTATGAATTTAAGTACGTATATATTTATGTATATAAATTCATATAAGTAATCGCGCTGCTGGCAACGAAGGGTGTAAATTGATATAAATGTGTAGTGCGCAAAATATACACTACATACATAGACATACATATAATTGCTCTTAAGAGGCACGTCGCAAAGTAAAAGTACGTAAATACAACAATTTACTATTTATGTACATATGTACATACATATATTCGTCATATGAGTGTGATAATATTTTCAAAAGAAAACGACGTTCTACAATCACACATAGTATATGCATATTTTTGCAAGAGTACGCAGTATAAATATGTATGAAACTATATAAATATGTATGAAACTCTATAAATATGTAAAAAACTACATAAATATACATATGTGAAATCTATGCAATAGATATAAATAATACATTTGAGATACATGTTGTATACATATAATTTATTGAAAATGCCGGTGTGTACCAAAATATGTATATATTTAACGGTAGCTATATATGAACACACAAAATTCGAGCCATGTAAGTACACTGGACAGACAGACAGCTTTCAAAACTAGATAGATACACACTCATCTAGATGTGCACATTCGATATTTATATACTATATAATCTACATAGATATGTATGTACATAAGTATATATATATATATAATATATCCATGCACATTTATGTGTATTTTTTAATTTGTATGACCAGCTTCGCCGCAGTGTCATTGCAAACACACCCACTCGCACTCCCATAAATGCAACTCACTTTATATGGATGTATGTGTATGTATGTATATACACATGTACAATACCAGTATTTTCGTTTTCGTATTGTAAAACAATTATTGGCCCCCACTTGAGTCCGTCGCAGCCAAGCGGTGGAGTCACATGTTGCTTGTCATCACACCGGCTCGCCGCTGTCGCATTTTGTCTTTTGCCTTTACCTCTGCTTTTGCCGTTGTTTTTGTTTTTATTTTTATTTATATTTATATTTATATTTTATTTATAATTCGTTTTTAATCACTTATTGCGGCAGCAATTTTGTTAACGATAGAACAGTTTGGTAGCAACTCGTATAGTTGCGGTGCATACGACGGCTTCCGACGACTTTCAGTTCTTTGACCCAAATTACGCGTTAATATAAGATAAACCGAAAATAAAACGCACTCTTTGTCAATCTCGTACGCTGCCAACCGATCTTTTGGTCGACAGTCATCAACAAGCGCCTCCACCCCCCCACTTGGCAACCGAATTTTTAAAATGTTTAATGGGTGTGCGGCTACCTCCTGTCGTCGCTGCGACGTGCCGACCGCCTTTCTTTCGACTTTGTTGCGTTTCAAATATTCGTGTCACATATCTTATTTTTAAATGGGCGACTTTTCCGTTTTTATTTATGTCGTGTAGCCATTTTTGTTGTAATTTCTGTTTAATTTTTGCTTTGTTGATCAACAGCAAATGGTCAGTGCGTCGACATATCGCCTGCGCTTTGGACACATTAGACGCAAATATTGTTGGCACACAATTTCATCCAACTACGGATTTGTTATTATCTCGCATAAAAGATATGTGTGAATAATATATGTATAAATACGTATCTATTTTCAGTATTAGGGTACAACCATATTTTAAGGAAATCACAAATTTTGACTGATAATCAAATGCTTTTTTGTCAATAAAGCAAGAAAAAATGTTAACTTCGGCATAACCGAAGATATAATACCCTTCACAGGTGCATTTCTTTTAGCATAAAAGGGTATAAAGAGATTTTTACATTGATTTTGATCGGTCAGGTCGTATGACTGCTATATACTAGGATGTATGCAAAATGGGCATACCTAATGGAATCTCATTTTTTTCATATTTTATAGTTTGATAGAACATGTGATGTAAGCTGCTTGCAGCTAATTTTTTAATTTTTATTGGAAGACCCACCCTGTGTTCTTTGAAACCAATCAAGAAAATTGTTTTCGTTTCAGTGATATTTAGGTATGGGAATTTCGCTCTGAATGTAAGACAAAATTGAAATTACATTAGTGTTAATTGCGTGGTAATACAAAACTCGAGTATATAATAAATTATTATTAGTATGACACAAATAAAAATTTCCAAAATTAAATTTCGCACTTTTTACCAATAAAATTATAATTTAGACTAAGAAATTATTGAGCGTAAAATACATCGCCAACCGGCTCACTAAATTATCTCGAATGTATGATAATCATAAGATTAGTCGTAGGATACTATCAAAAATTGGATAAACAAGAATTTGGTCTATACTACATTACACCAAGCCATCATCTAACAAACAGAGGCTTTGAACTGGTTGGTCATAAAAGAGTGAACGCCATCTGATTAAATAAAAAATTTGATCATACAAGTATACTACATATGTATATATGTATGTATGTACGTTTGCTCATATTTACATCCATATATTATACATTATCACTTACAAATGTGCACCTCTATATATGTATGTACATATATGAGTATAAACTTTTAATTACAAATAAGTCAGTGATTTGTTTTCAAATCGCTAGTTTGCTGTGACCATGAATGTACCAAAAAAGTAATCAAGTAATCGCAAAAAAATTAAAACAGCTATATAAGTACTCGTATGTATGCGCTTATGTATTAGAAATGTGTAGAGACTACTGTATGTACAAGTATGTAAGTATGTATGATTCTTACAAGTCGCGCTCTGGTTTCAAGGTAATTAACTAGGGTTATTGCTCCGTAAAGCGATGGTTGATTTACCATGTATCAAAGCATATACACACGTGTATTACATTAATTTACTATATAATTAAAAATGTGTTCTACAAAAAGCGCTTAGAAATTTCACAATATCACATTAGAACGGCGAAAAATAAAATTGTATCATATTTGTGCAGAAATCGGCAACAAATCCAACACTGACACATAGTAAATAAGACTACAAAATTAATAGTGAATTTTTGATATACACACGCCCACGAATAGTTCGTTGGAATACAAAATTAAATTTATATTTTGTAGTATTGTAGAATGTTCCTTTGCGCCACCAATTCTTCATATCGCAAATAATAATACAATGTTTGCTTTAATAATTCGTTGTAACATTAATACACGGCAAATAAACTATTTAAAAGCGCAGCAATAATATGTGTGTGTATATATGTAGATATATGCATGTGTGGGTAGCCATAGTTTTACGAATATGAATATTTTTATGAAATTTATATGAATAAATGCGTGCAGTTTGGAAATTTTTTGTAACTGCAGTGATCATAGAAATCTTGGATGGAATACTCACCATGACAATGCTACCAAAGATATCACAATCGCTGCGACATTTTTCAACACTAGCCTCCAAGGTATGGAAATATTTGACAATTTCGCCTTTACCGCTTGCATTGTGTTTTGTATTTTTGATTATTTGTTGTTTTTAGCTTAATTGACTTTTATAAAAAAAAGAAATATATATATGCAATTTTAGATAGACACCACACTTTTTAGAGCACAAATTGAGTAGTTAGCGTATTAAAAAATGCACGACATAATTGCAACACACTGTGTATTATTTGAACTTGAATTTGTTTTTTTTTTATTTTTTACTTTTTGGTTTTTGGCAATTGGTATTTAATAAAGTGTTGCAGCACCAAATTCGTAGCACTTCGTCGATCAGCGCGTTCTTATACAAAAATTGCTGGCCGCTGACGAAACTTGCGTTGTCACTTTCGTTTCTAGAGAGAAATTGAAAATTGTGAATGAAGCAAACTATTTGAAATAGACCACAATATATGTATGTATGTATGTATGTAGAATATATAAAAGGTTGCAAATAGCAAGCATATATATAAATATAATGAAAAGCATGAGAATCGATGAACAAAACTCGAACCTTCCTTGGACCAAATTTTTGCGCAAAATATTAACGCCAGCACAATGCAAATGAAGGAATTGAAACAACGAATTTTTGGCAAAATGACGTTTTTGTAAACAGAAAATATGTAGGTATATATGCACAGCAATACACAACACTACAAAGAGAACACAAAGAGTAAACTGACGTGCACCATATTTCAACTAAACAAGAAACCATATTTTATTTTGCATTTATTTATTTCCTTTTTTTTTTGAAATCACATTTGCGGCTAAATCTCGTGTTTTCTTTCATGTGTGTACATATTTACAAAAATGGATTTATGTGTACTATTTCGAAAACAAGGCGAGCAATAATGCTGGCATTTTACCAAAAACGCAAAAATTCAGCATACATATTTTGTTTTGGTAAAAATTGTTTTCCATTTTTGAAAATAAAGAAAAAACGAAGAATAGTACAATGGAACTGCAAGCCAAAGTATAGGAAAATAGAAAGTTATACATAAAATTGAAGAGCAAAACTTACTTAGACTCATACAAGGACACTCACTCATATTTGGTTCGCCATTTTAGTACTTCAATAATCGGCAGAGCTTGTATTTGCAAAGTAAATATGTATATGAAGTTTACTATTTTAGTAAGCGATGAAGCTGAGGTTCAGGTATGATGTAAGTCACAAATTGTTTGACAGTTTTGGCAATAGATCCATCAACGAGATACCCACATATGTCTGCACGTGTATACATATATATTTACAAAAATGTAAATTTAGAAAGTACTGTGTTTTCACAAGTAGATAAAGTCGAAAGTAGCTATGTGACTTTGTGTCGCTCCTATACATATATAAATACATACAAATGCATAACAGCATTGAGAGTATCCTAATCATAAAAAGCTTTAACATATGCAAGATGTCTGCTTACAATTGATGGATTTCTCTGTAGAGGTTTTGAAGATTAAACAACAAACAAATGTTTCTATGTTTTTTTTAAAAGTGGCATTTTCAAATCATATTTATTTACACACAAATTTATGTATAAAGATTCAAAATCAGCCCAACTATTTAAGGGCATACCTAACTTTTGTAGTTGAAAATGTGAATAATTGAGAAATGCCTTTTGTTGTAACAAAAGCTGTTTAGATAAGGTTTCAAAACAGGCTATGTAAATATTTCTGCCTTACTTATATATTGTAATATATGTAACTGCACATAAAAAGCTTATAAAGTAGTTAAATTTTGAAGCAAAATAAGCAATTTGTACGAAGAATACATCTGTCATATATTTTTATGTTCCTATACCGGACTAACGACTCTATATTTGCATTTTCAGGTAAATGACATATTATGTATGTAGATAATGCAGGTATCGATGCAAGTAATCTACCAACTTAGAAATAGATGAGATGAAAATTGGACTGAATTTAAAAATTTTGAACAAAAACCCCTCTTTGAGAACTCTTTGAAGATTACTTCCATGACTGACAAAGGAGCTACAAACTTTCTGGAATCATTTAGCTTTGACGTATTCAAAATAAAAGTTATGCGTCTTTTATTGCCACCCGCTGTACTGGACACACATGGCGTACAGTATAGGTGCAAGACGGCGAAAAGACTGATTTTTATATCCACGAAGATACATATGTACACTTATATGAATGTATTTAGAAAGGCTGTTTGGCCTTCGTTGTTGTCTGTGGTTATTGCGTCGCAGGGCCGCAAATGAAAATGTTTTCAATGTTTGATATTTTAGTTTTTTTAACAATATTATAAGGCGTATACATATGAATATTTATTATACTCGTATATGTACAATACATGGAAGATGTGGCTATAGATTTCGCATATAATATTTTGATACTATAGCAATTTTCAAAAAATTGTTTATAGATATGTTTGTATGTATAAAAGTTACGTACTTCCATAAATATTACGTTTAGAAAGTATTTATTCTTATTGACATTATTAAAGTCGGACCAACCAGTGTGCACATACATATCTACATACGTATAATGTGGTATATAAAGTCCAGACGCATTTGTCCCAAACATATGATTTGAATGCATGCGCAACTTGTATCACATAAGTATGTATTTGTATGTATGTACATATATACATTCTTGGTTCTTAATATATGTACCTAATTACTGCACAGCTTAAAAGTTGTCGTAAGTTTTTCGTTGTAACAAATTAATATGGAAATGGAATCCATTAAATTTGCAGCACATATTTATTTATATTTCTTTTTTGCGCATTTAGCACAGGAAAAGAAACTCAATTGCGTCAAAACACAATAAATTGAAGATGAAGTTGCCGGAGGGCGGGGATACGAACTCGCTGCAGCCCGGGACGCGTACGGCACGAAATCAGCGGCCTTCAATACATAATATGCGACCTTAACAATATGAAAAGCCCTATACCAAGGTATGATAACATTTTTACAAAGTGGTATGAAATTGCGAAGCTATGAATTGAAGTCTTTAATAAAAATAAATTTCACTCACCGTTGAATCTTCACATAAAAAAAAAAACGCACGAATAGAAATTTTAAACGAAATTAAGTTTTTACCGCACTGTTCGAAAATCGAAGAGTAACTAAATTGACCATGATGTTTTCGCTTGGCTTGTATCTTGTCCGCTTTTGTGTATCTTCGCATTTGCGCGTTTTCTTTTGCATTTTGTTGTTATTTTCATTGTGTTTTGTTTTCCTTGTTCAGCAGTTTCTATTCGAATTCGCGTGAGTGGGAGAAGGAAAATTGCATCAGCCGGTGCAATACAAACAGAGATGCATTTTTAATATATTTAAACTTTAGTAATGCCTCATTAACACCGATTTGAGCACATGATATGATAAATCAAGATTAAAAATGAACAATACATATATTATTTTTAACATATTTTACCACTAGATCACATGCAATCACAATCTTTTATAGAGCAGAATTTATAATAATCTAATGCTGCAACCGAAAGTCCCATAAGATTTTAATGATTATAAATAAAAACTTTACTAGTTTTGAAATCTAATAACACGTAGACAAATACGTCGAATTTTGTGAATTCTTGTTTTCCATTTTGAATATACTGAGAATTCATTTTATTTTATTCTTGTTGACCGCTTTAGACAAAATTTAATATTTGTAATCGACACGTTTCTTTTCATTTAAGTTATATACATCTCTAAATAACAAAATGTAACAGCTAATTAGATCTGTTCGTTTTCAATTGAAAGATTTTTGTGATTGTCACGTATTGAATTGCAAAATTGTCTCAAGTCTCTAGTTTAAAATCTCAAATTTAGAGACTTGTGACTGTATCAAAGTACTGAGTTCCGATATTGCGGATGTATCAAAGAAGTGAATTGCTCTATACCTGAGATGAATCCTTTGAATTTAATAATACAATACTTTTTTTTTATTGAAAAACAAAAATACTGTTTACACAAATAAAAAAAACGTCGATGGGTGTTATGTACTAGAGGGTGCAACCAATCTGAAATTATTTACTAATTTCTAGGTCCTTTGAGCAACACAGAGGACGTTTAAAGAAATTGTTACTAGTGGAAAAAGTACAGTATAAATCGAAAATTTAAAGAGCATTTGATAAAACGCCATACACTTTTTAATTTCATACTTTTTAAATTAAATCGACTGAAGCTTTTGAAAAAATACTTCCGATTGTATTTATTATAGCTTTTTACAGCCTATATATATTAATATATTTTTGCTTTTAACATTCAAAACGCTCTTAAAATCGTATGTAAAAAGTTTTTTCTACATAATGCAAGAAATCAGATCGATATCAACGTCAATCTTGGTCACAAATGTTATCAGCAACTATTTCGGTATTCTCTGTTTCTTCTAAATTTAATTTAGGTTTAGCACCTTTTCTTTCAGGTAAAGTTTCAATGATGGCTTCAGTCCATGATTTTCCTTCCGAAACTCGCAAGAGTAATTCAAACACTGAAATCATGTGTAAATTGTTAAATCTAGCATAATCATTCGTAATCAAATAACTTACCATGAAATGTACTAAGTACTGCACGTGTTTTCATATTCACGTGTTCGTTTAGTGGAAGACGCGCTGTGCGTAATCCGTTGTCAATTGTTCGTTTATGACACAGACCCTTATGATGATTGTGATCCACCAAACCTCCAATTATGTAGATTTTACCCTCCTCAATTCTATCTAGCACAGTGTCCGATTCACATGTCAGGTATATTATATTCTCTTTGGGAAAAACTTCCGTATGCGTTGTATCAAAATGATATTTCAGATGCCAATTTTCCCACCCATCATTTCGCTTAAGACTATTATGAATACGGCCGTCACTTTTGATACCAGTTAGGTGCAGTTGCCATGGACATTTTGAACGACGATTTATGGTGTAAATACGTAGACACTGTTTTATACACTTCGCTACGTCGCGATCATGCATTAAGTCATCGTAGTCTAAATCAATTGCTACACTAAGTTTGCCCAATTCTTGTTCATCAACCTGAGCCTGGCGTTTCTTCAGCTCTTTACGAGAAGGACCATTCCTAGCGGGTAATCCTTGAGCTTGCGCTGCAAGTCGCTTCTGCTTTTGCCTTTCACGTTCTTTCTGGCGACGAGCGCTTTTGAATTCTTCATATTTTTCCAAACGCTTTTGTTTCTTCAATTGATTCTTGCTTAAAGGATTTGGCGGAGTTTCTCCAGCCCCATGCAGTTTTGTTTCACATTCTACCTGTTTGTTTTCACCATTTTCAATTTTTTGCAACTTGGCTTCTGGCTCCAAAATTTCTTCGGGCATTATTGTTTTTATTTATTTTCTTACACACTGTTGAATCAGCTGATGGCAATTTGTGGAATGTAAAACAAGGAGAAAGAAAACAAATTCAAACAAAATAAGGCAATTCTGAAGAAAAAGCCATACGAAAATTGTACCCAACCCATTATTTCAATCGTGGGTAACAGTATTTTTTGCAAAAGAAAACTTTGAAATAAAAATTCCGTTTATGTCAGTTTAATTAAGATTTTACCTGAATAATTTTATTGCAATAATAGAGAGGTAATAAGTAAATTTTAAATTTATAAAATTAAATGATATGAAATGTTTATAACAAATAAATGCAGCTCTGTTACTTCTACCGTACAGAAAACAAAAAAGCCGAGCGTGCGTCGTTTTGCCTCGTACCAAATGTCAAATAATTCGAAAGCAATAGTTAACGGCAGTTGCGTTTTTTCTTCAATCTTAAAATTTATGAACTTTAAATTTCTTTACGAAAAATTATCATGATAAATAGATTATGTTAATTTGTGAAGTTTATATAGTTAATTAATTACCGCTAAAGGGCGTAACTATAAATAAACAAACAGAAAGCGCAGAGTGAGAACGAAACTGTGATCAACTGCGACATTTTGAAAAAGAAAAGACGCGGCAAAAGAACGATTAATGAATTTATTTTTTTTTGTCTAAAATATATCAATACTAGGATTTAAAAATCATCGGTTATTATATGTATATTCGTTCTACAGTTTGTCATTGCTGTTGTGCTGTGGTTTTGTGAAGAAATATATATTCAAAATTTTCTTATAATAGAAATTTCAAGTGAGCCAGGTAGGCAAAACGACGTCATAGGGAAAGATAAGAATTAAGCAAGGAGCAAAGCAAACATTGTGCTATAATGGATGTGAGAAATTGGAAAAAAGTCCTGTTGCATTGGGTGAGTGATAAGTGGAGTTAATTATATTTTTAAAAAAAGTTAAATCGTAATATCTAATAGCATACAAACATCTATTGTTGACATTTTTAAATATGCATTTACTGTTTAATTTCTGTTTTCGTAGGTAACTGAATGCGGGTTTGTTGCTGCTAATTACTTTAGTTTGGAACAGACAGATATTGACGAATTTTATAGAAATTTTCGCTTAAATCACAATTTATTACAAAAGCCGGAATCACAAGCCAACGTAATAAGTTTCTTAAAAGGTAATACACATATTGAGGGCGAACTAAATAAATTATACTATATATTAAATACTATTTTAAATTTCAGACCAATATGCTGATTATAATCCTCTCCTGGACGATGAAAATACCATAAGTTCAGCAGAGTATATCTATGTTTATTCCCTGTTCTTACATTTTTGTTGTGTAAAATGTCCAGAAACAAATTTTCATGACATCTGTAAGAGATTGTCTGTAAATAACCAACGAAATATTGCTGCCTTCTTCAATGAGTTGATAGATTGTCAGTCTATAAACCGAGAAAAGCTGCGACAAGCCATTGCTGGTACAGCTTTGAGAAGTAATAATTCGACGGGTACAGCAAGTGACAGTCACTCTAGCAGCAATAACTCAACGGGTACCACTAATAACAACTATTCGTCATCATCATTTCCCCGTCTGGACTCACCATGTCGAACGTCACGCTATGCTGCAGGCAATAGCAGTCCACGTATTGTACCGCCAACACCAAAATCTGCAATGTTGGAGGAGCGAACACGAGAGCTCTATAATTTGCGAGTAAGTAAAAAGCTTAAAAATATTGGTTTTATTGGAATTTAATAAAAAATTAAAAATAATTATCTTACAAAATTGAAATTAGGCACAACTGGAGACAGAGAGATACGAGAAGGGGCTGCTGGAAGTGCAAATAAAACAAAATGAAGAAAAGATGAAGAAATTAAGTAAGTGCAACTTAGCTTTGTTACAACTTAAGTATTTAATGCTCACTATATGTTGCAGATCAAGATCATAAAAAGCTGCAACAAACAATTCAAGATTTAAAAAACGATATACTCACACAAAATACAACAGAAGGCAGTTCGCCAAAAAATAAAGATGCAGAACAGGTGATTATACATTTACTTGTTTAAATTTCAGATTATTTTACTGTTATTCAAAATTTATGTATATTTATGCAAAAATACATTTATCTTTATATTTTTATTTTAAAAATATCTTTTGTAATAAATGTTTAGATGAAACGCCGTTTATGCAGAGAAGTGGCCCAAAAGGAGACCGAAATAGCAAAACTCAACGATGTGCTAGGAAATTTAAGGGAGGATAAAAATTTGGTTCAAGAAAAGGTGCCCAAACATTTGTTGTTCATAATGTTGTTATAAACTCTATGAATATTTTTAATTACAGCTTTGTCATGCTGAAAAACAAATAATGTTTTGCATGAATCGTATTACAGAGCTGGACTTGAAAGTCGATGAGCTTACTACTGAACTTGAGGTACTTGTACAAACTATTTATGATTATATTGCGTGAGATCTAATAAATATGTTTACACTTGATTTGTCAATAGCAAAAAGAGTTCACCATTCAATGTTTAAGTGAAAACAAACTGGAACTGGAACAGTTTATAAATGAAACACGTTCAACAGGGAATAATTCGCGGCCTGATTATTTAGATGCTTCGTTCTCTCCTGTCACTGATGGAAGTTCAAGTAGTCCCGAAAATCTCGCACGCTCCGTGGTCGATGTACAGTTGCGCGAAAAGGAACACGAAAATTCTGAGCTACGCGACGAATTGTGCGCGCTAAGGAGCAATAATAAACGTTTGACCGACTTAATACGAAAATTCACTACAAAACATGCGCAGGAATTCAATATAACCACCAGGATTGGTAATATTGCGTCGAAAGTGGAAGAGCACAAAGAAATCACGCCAGGCGATTGTCTTAATCATTTAGTTGACTATGTCGAACAACTGGGTGCGTATTACAAAGACGAAAAGATGCGGGTGAAAGCTTTACAAGGCGAGCTACAGTGCAAACAGAGGCGTAACGATGATCTCAGTCGCAGCCTGATAGAGTTCGAGAAAGAGGTGGCCGCACTAAAGGAACAATTAGAAAGTGTGGACAATTTAAATCTGGAATTGGAGCAAGCGAAGAAACGTATGCAAGAAAAGATAATACGTTGCGAACAGGAGATTGCCAATATTAACGAGCAGAAATTCGAGTTGGTCGCGAGACTCGACACGCTTGCCAATGACTATGACACGCACAAGCATAAGTGTGCCGCACAGCGTCAAGAATACACGACAACAATTAAAAGTCTACAGAATGAAATCTCTGACTATGAAAAAGTCAATATTTCGATACGGAAGGAAAACGAAGACTTGAACGACGAAGTGGCCACGCTGCGTAAGAAGATAGAAACACTACAACAAGGCATGCTAAACAACACCGATGAGATACGAACATTAAATGATCGCATTAAAAACTATCAAAATGAATTGGAGGCACACGACAAAACCGAAAAAATGCTGAAGGAGAAATACGAAAAAATACTGGTGCAACATGAAGACACCAAACGCGACAGGCGTGAAACTGCCGATCACTTAGAAGCCATGCAGAATAAAATTACGGTGAAAGAATTCGAAATGGGCAAACTGGGCGTGGAAATAGTCGAGGTGCGTAAGAAGAATGATGAGTTAGAAACGCGCATTGACACGCTTCTGACAGAATTCAAAACCGAAAAGCATAACTACGAATTGGCCATACACACGCGCGATGAACGCATACGTAAACTAACGGACGAACGTAACACGCTAGAGGAAAGCTTCGGCAAGCTGAAAAAAGAGAATGAGCTTTTGCAAACTGATTTCAAGGAGGCTAAGGAAGAGTTGAGTGCGGCGCTTAAGACATTCAACGCTTTAAATGCGCTATTGTGTGGCGAGAAATCCAATACCGCCGTTAATTTGGCGCAAAGACTGTCGGAAGTCTTAAGCAGCAACACACGCTTGAGCGAAGAGAAACTGGAACTCAATGAAAAATTGGAGCAGATGAGCTTCAATCACAATGAAACAGTTTCGAAAATGGAAGTTGTGGAACAACAAATGAAAGATCTCATAAGCGCCAAAGAGGAAGTAGAAGCCAATTACAAAACACTATTGGAACAGAGCGACATGAAGCTGAAAAGTGCCGAAGATCAAATCAAAATTTACGAGGAAGATATTGGCAATCTGAAAGAGGCCTTCAAGCAGGTCACCGATGATATGCAAAATGCGCTACAGGTGAACACCGAAGATCACACGGTGCGTTTGATGGAAATTGGTGTTCAGCACGAGCGTGTTGTAAACGCGCTGAAGCAAGAGCTTGCCGCAAACAAGGAGGAGTTAAGCCTTAAAGAGCACAACCTGAAAACGCTCATGGAAGAGAGTAGCGTAGTCAAGAATAAGCTGGAAGAGAGCATACAACGCTTGCAAGAAGTACAAAACGAACACTTGCAAGTAAGCAAAGCCGGTAGTGAGAAGCTCAAAGCTTTGGAAGCACAAATGGATAAAGTAGTAAAGGAAAACAAAACACTGCTGCATGAAATCGACACTTTCAAGGCTGAACACACAAAAGTCAATGGTAAAATCCTCGAAGCCGATAGCGCCTTAAACGAACTGAATACACAGCTGCAGCAAGAGTTGGATCACAAGAGTGAATTGAGCCTGAAGCTGCAGGCGAGTGAAACGCGGTTATTTGAAACGGAGCAAAAGCTCGAAAGCATACTCAAGGAGAAGGCGCACACTATAAGTGGACTGAAAACCGCCTACGAGAGTCAAACAGCCGTGCTAAAACGCGCCGAAAATCAAGTGAGCACATATGAAAAGGCGAACATAAAGCAAACACAACAAATTGCCACACTGCAGCAGAACTTGCAAAAGGCCACAGAGGAAAAGGAGCGGCTGAGCAAAGATGTCGTTTCATACACATCACAATTGCAGCGTGAGCAAGACGAGAAATCGGCGCTGTTAGCTTCGTTAGAGCAAACTGCCGATCAACTCAAGTTGGCGATCTGTGAGAAGGATCAGCAAGCAAAGATATTAGAGAAAAGTTATGATGAAC